TGGAATATTGCATCCAGTTTTGGAGGCCTACAAATAAGAGTGAATTGTTGGCGCTTGAGGAGGTATAGAGGAGGGCCACAAGAATAATTAAGGAGGTTAGGAGACTTCCGTGCGAGAAGCTTTTAGAAGTGTTGGGACTGTACTCGCTCGAGAGAAGGTTTAGGAGGGCGATCTCATCCAGGCTTTCAAGATAATTAAAGGAATAGATAATGTCGAGTGTGGTATGTTCTTCCAGTCCGATGGCAGCAAGAGAACGAGAGCTAATCAACTAAAGTTGCGCAAACCACAGGTGCGACTCAGGTCGAGACAGGAATTCTTTACTTGCAGAGTGGTGAACGCGTGGAATGCGTTAGGTGACGAAGTAGTGGCTGCCCCTTCGTGACTGTTTTAAAGAAGAAATTGGATGCTATAATGGGCAGGCAAAAAGGTGGGGGCAATGTTGAAGTTAGGGACTAGACAGTAAGCTACTAGGATACGCTAAAAAAAAATCCCAAAAATACAAAAAATATTTAGCTTTAGGAGGATTACAGTTACCCAAAAATTAAGGAACGCTCGACCTCGACACGTGATATCGAAATGGGTGCAATCGTCTCCTTGATATCATATATCTATACACGTTTCTTTTTTCGGGCTATTCTCAAAATAATCCGACCTCTTGCCAAATTTAATTGAATTCTGAGACGGTCGAGCACAGATCATTACCTCACTTGAAATGGAATGATTCACCTAAGCACCTTTAATTCGCCTCTAAATGGGCGTTGCACGACTTTTGGAGGGGTGCTGACATGCATCTCAACACCTTGCAACCGTCCAATGTCGATCGCATAGCTAATGTAATTTTTTTTCACTTATGAAATTTCGATTCTCCCATAAGAGCGGAAGAGCGTTTTTTTTTAATTATCACCCTATACATGCAAATATATTATTCAAGAACGGTTCTTTTGATCTGTTTTCCCGAAGTCTGGGAGTAGTCTCGATTGACTTTTTACGTTTTCAATTTCATTTACAGTTTAAAAAATCATTGGAGCTGAACCTTTGTTGTGCCGAGTGGGGTGGTGACATTATAATAACCCATTCGGCACAACAACGTTGTGTCAACGTTGGAAAAGGGTTGATGGCAATGTTGCCTCAATGTTGAGAAAAGATTGACTTTTCAACGTAACATGTTGCCACAATGTTGAAATGAAACACAGCTCAACGTAGAAAAGTTGATGCTGTGCGACGTCAACGTCATGTCAACATTGAATGATTGAATGACATGATGTCAACGTTGAATTGTCACCGTACGGGCATTATACAGGGTGTTCCAAAAGAAACTACCCACTGTTTGAAGATGCATAACTCAGAAAGGCGTAGACCAAATAATATGACACCACTTTGTAGACCAGAAAGTTCTCTTTACGGTGGCCACTCCACTGGGCCTCTGCGTCCAATCCAAGAATTGGGAAACTTTTCGTCCAGCCACTGCCGTACCTGCTGACTGAAATGTGCTGGAGCTCCATCGTGCATGAAGTAAAGGTGCTCTGCTTCCACATGGTGTTCGATTTCTGGCCACAGCTTTTCGTTGAGTAACGCTAGGTATGAATTTCCTGTGACAGTTCCATCAAAAAAGAATGGTCCAATGATACCTCCAGACCATATTCCAGCCCAAACAGTGACACCTTTCGTGTTGACCACCTTGTCCATTGTTATCTTTGGATTCTCTGTGGACCAGTACACGCAGTTGTGGCGATTGACGTGACCATTTAACTTGAAAATTGCTTCATCGGTCCAAATGACTCGATCCAGTAGAGTGGCAATTCTGTCACATTTTCATACTTAGCGTGCCATTTGACTATTTGTACCCTTTCTGCAATGCTAAGGCGAGATCTTCCAGCCATCCACGATTATATTACTTTCCCTTTAGGCTATAATATACACGCCAAAAATTATCATTGCCTATGCATTTTACCAGGAGATATACCCTGACAAACAGTGGGTAGTTTCTTTTGGAACACCCTGTAGTACCTCCTCCCTATTCCAGAGTGCGAATGAGTTTTGATTATCGGATGAAATTGAATATGGACTCGATAACTCCACAGATAGTCCCCCAAGTGGTATGATACTAGCAGTACTCTACCGAGTGCAGTCATCCCACGTAAAGGACCCTCAAAGGTTTTATTTCCTCTACTGAATCAGAATTCACATTGAGTATTTACATGACTCAATCCTCTCGATCCAGTAGAGAAAAACAACCTCGCGGGCATGGTTTTCATGCCCTATCCATCATGGATGAGCCTGGATGAGGGTGCGTGCCATGTGGAGATTTAGGAAATTTGAACGTGTCTCCTCGGACCCACTAGCCAGAAGTACTTTGGGTCTCCTTCTGCCTGATTACCTCCTTAAACATGTCTATCTAGGAATTCCTATACCTTCCCCTATGCTGTAGATGGGAATAGATCGGGTACTGTATGAAAAATGCAGGGTACTGTTTATTTCATGGCAGCAGGGTAAGAATCGCCGAATCGGCGGTTAGGTGCCATCTCGCGTCGATTCGTAGAACCTGATTTCTGTTGATATGACGTGGATAACTCCACGTTAAAACAACATTGAGAAAACGATTTAAAAAAAATTTGCTCCTAATAGACTCTGAACGACTTCCCTAATTCACGAGTAGTCACCAAATGCTGAAAATACTGCTAGTTATGAATAGCTAACATTTCATCGATGTTGATTTTTCGTCGAATTCTCAACTTCAACCAAGTCCCAACGTTTCAACCTATTCTCAATGTTGATACAACGTTGTTGTGTCGAATAGGACCCTAATTTGATAGGCTATAACTTTTCAAGGGACAGTTAGATCCAGCTGATACTTGACAGAGATGTTCATGAGTGTAAAAAGTTTTTTCACATCCGCAAGATGGCACTGTATGCCGATAGAGGGCGCTGTTGCTGACCGGAGGACCCCTCTCTTCGTGCTACGCCACATTTTAGGCAGGAAAACAAAACCTGTAAGGTTTATCTTTTGAGCCTTGGAACCTTACATGAGCCTCTCTGCCAAAAAATATATGAATTTAGTCAAAATTGGTTTATGGCCCAAACAGGGCAAACTACTCTATTTGAATTTTGAGATGACGGAGCATAGACCATTACTGCATTTGAGGTGTAATGATCCACCTGTAAACTTTGTAACGGGTCAATGCATAGCTCAAAGAATTGTTATGAGGAAAACACAAACAATCTTCTCAACACTTTGTATATGTCCAATATCAAGAGTTAATTAATTTATCATTTTTGTTCGAATAAACGAATCTTACTTTCTCCCATAGAAAACGGTGGAGCGTTTATTTGGAATCGCCCTATATATAGCTGTGTAGCTGCTTCCAGGTGGCTTGTTCATATTTTCATCTAGGGTGGCTTTTTCCGCTTTTGCCAATACTAAGATTCTTCTTTATGCCTGGCTTCTCTAAGACACAAGAGTGAAGGACCTAGATCAAGGGTGTCAGACTCAAATCGATCGGCGGGCCGCATTCCTAACCCTGCAGATGCCTGAGAGCCGCACCCGTAATTTTTCACCGAAATTTGTGCTGACAGTCAATCCAAGCGAAAATTTCAAAACGTCGGGCCGGATGAACTACCTCCGCTGCCCGGATCCGGTCCGGGGACCATATGTTTGACATCCCTGACCTAGACCATCCCCTCACATCCCCTTTTTATGTGTTTCATTCCAGGTTAAACTAACCTTTCTTCAATCCTATCTTCTTCAATCAAGAATGAGACCTAAGTTTAATTCGTTCGTATATGAGCCCTTCACTTGACTCAGAACTCTTTTTTGTCTGACTGCTATTATCATCTTTAGCAAGGATCCTTTTCTTTGGATCATGGGGAGAGAAGGAAAGGAGCGCACATTGAAAGCTTACAGTACCTGTTGCTCGCACTGTTGAGCCGAGGCGATCGCAGAGCTGGAAGGCGAGAAAGAGAGTCATTCACTGAACCGTCCCAACTTCCAGGGTTGTATTTCTAATGTGGATTCGACGGTGTCATGAAAGTATTTTGTCTTGCCCTGAGAAGACTCTGTGGCAACCTGGAACGCCCGTAAACTTGTCTAGAAGTGATTAAGAAAAATTCTTTCTCATTAAGGAATAGATAGAAGAGAGAGGCCCGAATGCTCTTGAACTCGTCTAGATAGAATTAAGAAAAATTCTCTCTTTAAGAAAGAAATAGAAGAGCGAAATCAACTCCAAGGGTGGGTTTAGCTTTAGCATCGCTTTTCCTGTCAGACTCGAGTTTAACTCCGCAATGCATCACCTAATCCATCGCCACAAGGTGAAAGCACGTTTATTATGGAATTCGGGAAATTCAACCCAGAGATTCACGAGGTTCCTTGAAGCTTCTACGAACTGGAATAAACGGCTTCTCCTCTACTTTAATGAACTTCGTGCAGCATATATTGCTCAGAGAATTTATCATACAATCCAGTCACACCCCTAATGTCTTTTCTTGGAAGTAGGGACTTCTCAGTACTCATCGACCTCGGTATCATAGGAGTAACTTAGTCCCGCGTATGAAGACTCGTGCATTGATCGCTCATACCTCATACAGTGTGACCCCGGCTTCGTACCATGGAGCCAGGGAACGTCGATATTCCACAGAGGCTATTTTCTGAGCACCGTCGGAAGGGCGTGGTTCGAGGAGGAATAAGGGTGGAGATGACACAGAAAAAAATGACATCGCGTGCCGAGTTCCCATCAGACTAACGAGAACTCCTCGGCCTGGGATGCAGACATGAAGACGTTATGGCGTGTTTTTATTGTTTCTTGATTGCATCCACCTTCCATCTGTCCGGTCCATTCACATCGCGCATCAAAATAATGAACAGGGATCATCATTGACGTCTGGATTTGGGGTCGTATTCGATACACGCGTCTGGGTCCCTCTTCGTTTTGTAAAATATATAATAATCAGCTTCATTATGCAAATCGTATCTTATTTTCGAGTCTTGCATTGTTTACAGAGCAGGAGTCGAATAAATAATAATTCTTAACTCCCACAGTCCGTGATTTATCGGCTTTAAGAGGTCAGTCATTCTAGAATTTGCGGTTCCAAGTTGAACGACGGAAAGCCTCAACGGAGGTAACTATCATTTGAAGATCAAAACCGCATGCTAATATTCCAAGTTGAGGTCAAGTTCCTTTCTGACAGAAATCTTCTGCAATGTGTCTGTTCCTTTCGATGTCCTTCCTGTTCCCCAACCCTTGAGCATCTGAGTTTTTTCTGTGCGTTATTGATTCTCACGGAGAGCAGGGGATAGCTTCCGCACGTTCTGCAGAGCACATTCGGGGCAATCCAGAACCAAGAGATACTTCCATGATCTAGTTTTTGAAAAATCCGTGAATTCAGGGAATAGGAATACGCCGAGTTGAAGCCGACCCACAACTACGCAAGGCATCTCAAAAGTCACACGGAACTTTAATTCTACACAGTGTTTAAAAAAAAACTGGGCCAAATCAATTTCGCTATTAATGTCAGTAAATTTATCAGATAAACTTAATTTTTTAAACGCTGCGTGTAGATAGAGGAAAGAAGGCATGAGCCAAATTGTAAGAAAATTGACCCATCATATCACGTTCTATGCCATTTAAAGCTTAATATGCAAAAAAAAGTGTGCCGTACAAGCTCAAAAAACTTGGCCAATTCGCTTTTTTTAAAAATAGGAATGATAGTATATATTTCATCCGATCCGATTCTATCTATCTCATTTTAGCTTCCATTTTTAGTTTTCGACGTAAAAATAAAAAGACGAAGGAAGAAATGTTGCTCATTATCCAACGGAAGCACGCAACGAAGCTCAAGGGCAATATTATTTACTTGTGAGAGCCCACGTAAAGGGTGGATCGGAACCATTTGCTCTTCCCCCCGTTTCTCTCCACAGGAAAAGCCATAAACAATCAGCAAAGGCAGAATGGCGTGTAAAATAGGTGATACAGAAGTTGGGTGGATCGGATTCGTGCGATAGCGTGACGGGAGACGCGTGATGCTGGGCCATCGGCTTCATTACCAGATCGATTCGTCAAAGTTCTTCCGGCTAGAACTGCCGATAAAATGAAATATGATTCGTGCTGGAAGCATTCACATTTCAGTAAATGAATGACTTATATTAGGTCTAGTTTCATCCACGAGACGAAGTGTTATTTAACTCGTTCTGATTCGCAAGAGCCGAGGTTCCCTCCAGTCCTCCGTCTGCTGGCATTCGGGATAGTAAAAGTAGATGTCACTCTCTATTACGATTTTGGTCAAGGTGAGGAGATTCCATCATCTATAGGGGTTCTGTGTTGCTATTGAGTTATGATTAAGTGATGTGGCATGTGAATCTAAATATGCTAATCGAAGATAATACTTGAATCAGGTAGAATCGGCTGAGTTGAACTCATGCATTCCGCGCGAAACGATGCCCTTTCGCTCTGAGAATGTGAGATCTCTCACTCCCTTCTTACAATCTTTTTTGATGAAATCACTCGTCGTTGCATTCTCTTGGCATCGAGACAAATTCAAGTGTGTATGGCCTTGCGATGCGAGGCATCATGCCCGCAACTACAAGATGTCCCGTCTGATTGCAGGTGTTGGATGCACTCGGCCCCTTCCACATCATCTACTTCGCCCTGGTGGTGTTTTTCGGGGCCTTCTATCTGCTCAACTTGGTTCTTGCCGTTGTGGCCGATGCGTACGAGCAGGAGGCACGGATCACCGAAAAGGAGGGGATGGTGAGTATCTTTTCTCTCTTTCTCTTTTCCCAGAATATGTGATAGCTTTCGAGGGCACGGTTCGCTGTTGCCAGATGATTTGGACCTCGTAGCCAGTCTGCAAAAATTCTTAAGGTTCCAGTCTCCAGAGAGTTCCGGATTGCTTTAGTAAATTATTTTGTGCATATTCAGGTATGTATTTAATTTTTAAACGCTTCCTCGAGATTGATTGCCTTCTAAATTTTGCAAAATCCGCCCTCTTGATGACAAATGAGCACGTAGAGTGCATACACAATGCGGCAATTCATGGAAGTGAGGGGCTAAACTATTCATTCTCCTCCTCCAGGCCTAGAGACCGGATATACATTTCTCGCGCTTTACTTATTATGCATGAGTTCTTATCAAAGGTTTTATAAAGAGGCATTACATACAATGCTTTCTTGAAAAAAGGAGGAGAGAGGAATTCGCATCTCCCTCACTTTTCAAGGGCAAAGACATGACTTGGCGAAAGAGGGTTGAAGGACTCCTTTAACGCTTCCCTTTTATCCTTTTCTCCTTCCCCTCCCATTTTAGTCCTTCCTGTTGATGCCTAATTGTGAATTATGAAAGACAAAGAGCAAGCTATTAAACTTGGATTCGTTGAAAACTAAATTGATGAGCCGAAACGTCTATCCTTGAATTCCAGAAACGAGAAGCGCAAGAACAGGAGAAGCCAGGCGTTGCTTCGTTGGGTACACCGCCACCACTATCATCGTCGTCGGAAGATTCCAAAGAGAAGAGGAAAGCCTCGCTCTTGACTGTGGAGGTGAACGAGAATCTCATCCGCCGACTCCTCCCTTTAACCCAAACCTATCTGGATCGGAAGACAAAGGAACAGAAGACGAGCGAGGCCTACAGTAATTTTCTGAAAGAAGGGAGAGGAGGAGGGGGTTTCGTGCAATTCCTCCAGGGGCACGTCCCCTATTTAAAGAGGATGCATGGTCACCGCCGGGCGACCCAGTCTCACAAGCTCGTCACGGCATTGCGTCGAATGGCAACGATGGAAGATGAAGAAGTTCCTGCAAGTCGAATTCATTCGGGTCCTCTTCGTGGTTTCAAACGCTTCTTGGATCGTGCTCGAGGTTGTCGGGATCCCCCTGGAATCGACAGACTTAAAGTCCAAGGGGAAGAGTTAGACTTCCCGAGGAAGGCGTCTCTTAAACTGGGTTCTCACCCCCTGGAACCCCATTTCGTAATGCCACCTTCCGAAGACAAAGAGGACGAGGAATTGTACCATCATGGTACCAATGTACCATCTCACGTGAGTTTCTTGGCATTATTGCTGCCTTCTGAATCTCATTGTTGCAGGAATTCAGGAATGTTTTCAAAATTTTCAAGTCGAAAATGCAATGCCAAATCTCTCCGAAGGTTTGCAATCAATGACGTATAGTATTGGAAGGTTAGGGGCGGCTTTCCCAACCCCCTTCCCCTCCCCCTCAAGGCAGCCCTTGGACAAAGCCTTGTGTGGATGGAGACGCACGCCCCCAAATCCTCATTTTTTTTAAAAAAGCATATTTGAAATAGGGATGAGCCTGTTATCACGATATTGCGGAATTGTTCAATGTACTTCGTGTTGGCAATGCCTGGATATCGGGATATCATTTTTCGCTGTCATACTTATCAGTTTCTGAATTTTCCGGCATGTAAAAGGCTGACTGCGAATGGTAAAGTTGCATGATTTACGTATGAAAGTAACACATGGACGCTTTCATTATCGTATGCCACTCCCCCGACTTACTAGGCCTAAGTAAAGAAGCTCGATAACCAAAAACCCTATCAGGGGAGGCTTCGTTGCGTTGTTACTCGGAGCCATTAGGCCTACGAAACGCAACAAGAAGCGAGGAAGCATCATCCTATGGCACTCCCCCCAGCTGGTTAATGTGAGGCTTGTACTGTATAACAGGGAGGGGAGAAATGGGGTCGGTATCACCATACCTTGATGGCATCCACTTGTCATTTTCCTTAAGAGGTCCATTGTCCACGTCCTTCTTCTCGGAAAATGAGAGACTGTCAACGTTATGACCTCATCACAAATAAAGATTACCAATGTTTCTCATGCTGAGTGGACTCAACAGCAATGTGTGATTCCGATCGGCATCCTGGGGGATTTCCGAGTCTGACCTAAATATTGGATCGGCGATATTTCGATGTGAATCTATTTATGGTCGATGATATCTATCCCTCCAAAACCCACGTCGCCCAGCCTTAATTAGGAATAGTATTTGATTCACGCAATGACAGTGAGTCAACAAAAGGTATGCAAGAAGTTGTCACAGTTGTATGGTTCCAACTTTTCTAGCTCTGACTATCCTTTTCGACCCTCCTTCCGGTGTTCTGTTATATATATATATTTTTACTTGCTTTTGTTACTTATTTTACATGGTCTGAAATTCACCTTCGGCATCCTCTTGAGAGAAGAATTCTGAGAAGAGATTGGAGTTCCGACAAATCGAAATCGCTTCTGTTCTTGAGAAATGCGTTGCGCTCAAGTTTATGGATTCGTCATCGAAGTTTCATTTTCTGCGTTTCGGAGACGCATCTCCATCCTTTTCTATGCGGAACATAAAGCGGAATACAACCACTGGATCTCACAGTCGTCAGAGTTTGAGCTAGTTCGTGGACGGACAAGTTTTTTTCTCTCGAAATATTGGCATTGGAGGAAGCTCGCACACCGAGTGTCGTTTTCCGCCGTACATGCCGAAATCCAATTTTCATCATGAATTTCAGTCGTCGATATCCCATTTTCTCTCTTTCAAGCGATGAAATATTAAAAGAAACGCATTCCCATTCAGCACATCGGCTTTTCAGACGGCAAGTCCTCTCGATCGTGCTAAATTGCACAAACCCAAAGTAATTCCTCCCACGAACCAATCCTTCTGATGACCATAAATTCGACCAGCGTATCTCCCACATTCATCGGTTGATCAGGGGAATTAACAATTATTTATGACGGGCTCAAAGAGAATTTCCCACTCCCACCTTTGGTTTCCTTTGAAAGGCAAAAAACCTGAAAGATATTTTCATTTCATAATAACTCTTATCAAACCAATCTGATTCCGGTTTCATTCCCTACTCCAGGGAGACTATCCACCCCTACACACGAGAAAATTATATTATTTATTCATTATCGAGTGGCAGCACCTTCATCCTGTCACCCATAACCTGCTCCACCTCAAACGTGATTTATCTTATTATATGCAACGTTTTCGTGGTCCAGTATCCATGTGAAACTGGCGGACTGTTTCCTGGCTTCGCCAGAGAGCATATACGGAATGCAAACCTGATTTATAAGAAATCCAAGGGAATTCGATAATCCAGAACACCATCATTCTTATTAAAGCAACCTCTCCATTGGAAAAGTAGGATTAACTGACAGACTCATACGAGAAAATGCGATACCTTCTTGATGAAAATGTTGAAATCGGTACTGAATTCTTTGACCCTCCTTCCTGCCCCCTCCCCCTCTTCCTTGCCCCTTTCCTTTCCCATTCGTTCGCTTATCTGGTGCTGTCTTGCGGTGACTTCCGTTCATGCGTTTCTTTTATTGTATCTTTTCATATTTTGCCTTTTTATTTCATATAATTTGATTTTTTTTTTCCTCATGCTTTTCGCTCCTATTTTATATCCTTTTAATTTTTTCCTCACGAATTTGTTATCTTTTATTCCACCCATGTTCATCTTTCTCCTTTCGACTTGAAATTTTTTTTGTGGACTAGATTTTTTTACTCTCTAAAAAAGGAGACTTTGCTTCTCCGAAACGTTGATTTTATTTATTCCTTATTAAAGTGCTGGGAGTGCTTCCTTTTGTTCTATTAACCTTTGTTCCTTTGATCAATGAGTAAACGTGCTTGTCTCTATGGCGCCCCCTCTTCATCAAATTTACCCTTTTGACTCAAGAGCCACTTGGAATCCTTTCGTAATTTGAAGTGATTTAAGACTGGCATTAACTTCCTTTGATTGTGCGAGGAATTTTCGGAATCTTGGGCAGTTGAAAAAAATCCAAACGATCCCCGTTTGAATTATTAAATGTTAAGTGCATTCCCAACTTGCTGGAAACGCATTCGAGATAAACCTCTAAAAGTGTAAATGCTGATGGAACCAGGAAAACTGGGAGGAGGCTTGGAATTCCTCTTGGTGAATTCCACCGCAGCAGCTTCAGATAATTTTCATAAACAGATCAAGCTATCATCGAGGATATTTCATCTGCGGCAATTCAAGCCACGAACATATTTTTAAAAAATTTTCAACCCATATAAATGTGACTAGGTCCCCTCGGATGAGCCGGAACGGGAAACGGAGCTGAGGGGAGAATCGGAAACGGGAGTGTCGAGGTCAAATGAGCTGTCTTCTTCGCACTTCAGGAGAATTCTTCTTCCTCAGCAGCATTCTATCGCCGATTCCGGTATCGAAGGAGATGACAATGATCCCGATTACACCATCCAAATTGTAGACATCCCTACTCATGTGAGTAGTTCTCCGACGATATCCTTTCTTTTACACTTGGCAACCGCATCTAGAAACTTGTATGTATCGTGTTCATGCAGAGCTGTAATATTAAATTTTGCCGAGTGTACCGCCAGACAATGAAAAATGCTGGTCTTGATCAAGCCCACCAATGTGAAATATCTAAGTACGTATTCAATGCCCTTTGAAATTGATACGTGCATAATTTACAATAGTGAAACCAGATGATTCCAGCACATCTCTTCCGATGCTATTAGCGAAAAATATTGACCGGTCTGGTCTTAACGTTGCACAGCTAATAATCTTCATACGAGTATAACAAAGGTAAACTTTTTTAAATTGCTGTTACAAGATGCTTTTACGACAGGGCGACAAGCTTGTGATGGATTGGAATGGATTTGGGATGTACTCGAAGTTTCCCAGTGAGAGAGCCAAAGCAGGGGTTACACTTCTGGACGAACCTCAGAAAGGTCAGCGATTTAGTCTTCTAGAGAATGATTTAGAGAATGATGTTCCATCAAAATGTAGCTCCATGTTTCAAGAGCAAGCTATGCTACTTGAGGTTACTTTTTGGGTTCTAAAATATTATACGAGGAAAACAAAAGAAGTCAAGGCACTTCGTTTGACACAGCTCACTAGAAGTATATGGAAGAAGGACTACGGACATCATTCGCTGCATGCAGATGGTGCTTCGGGATAATGCCCTGCGTAACGGAACAGTGTCTCGCTGGGTAGTGGCTGTCAGCACTGACCGCCCTGTTTATGTTGCATCCTTTGGTTAGACGGGCGAACGCTGACTACTCGGCGAGACACTATTTTGTTTGGTAGAGCATCATCCCGAAACACCACATGAAGGCGACGAACAGTTTCCGAAGTCTTCAAACCTTCCGTCACGATTCGAGAACGGCTCGTTACTTCATTTTAATTCCGGTTTCATCCGTCCCTACGCTCAATACCTGGAATAAAATGAATAAATTACTCATCAGCACGCTACATTATACATCAGCCGTCACGTGCCGCTCAATTAAGACTCTTAATAGGTGACTGAATCCCTGCGCCCCTTGGGGGGCCGTTAACAGACCATTGAAAAGTAGCAGACTTCAATCACTCGCCGTGTTTGGTATTTGTTCCAACGATCCTTCTATTCTCTTCCAGGCATGAACCAAGTGAGGTTTTTTCAGATTCTTAGAGCTTTTCAGAATGTGACAGGACGTGTTATTACACTCTATTAGCTGTATACGATACAATTTAAGACATCACCCTGCTCTACAACACGGAATAATTTTATCCCCAAAGCCATCGTCGATGCAAAAAATGGCATGGAGCATCGAGAAGGTACACAAGAGGGGAAAGAAATGTTTCAAATTAGAAAAACCTATGGTTCATTAGTAAAACTGGTGTCGAAGAGGACTTTTGCTGCATTTGTTCATGCATTTATTCATTTTAAAGTTTTCTTTCCTTGAGAAATATGTCTGCGGGATCAGAAGTGGAAGCCCGTGGACGCGCTTAATCGAAAGTTTTATTGCTAATTGCTCAACGCAAATTTCAAAGGCGCCGAATAGCCAACTTAGTGAGAGAAAATTCACTAAATGATATAATCTTTGATGACAGAAGTACTGTTTCCGAGCACAAGTTGAGAGGATTTTCGGCTGGTTAGAGGTCTATCTCTTTGCACCCATTTGCTTCATCATCAATTCTATTGATATTGATATTGATTCTCTCTTTTTTCAGTTGTCGATCGAAATCCTCGATGCATCCAGCGGGTCTTCGGAGGATACGGTTTTTATAAGAATTGGTTGAACGTCCAGAATGGATTGTATGTGGTTGTTGAAGATCCCTGCTTTGAAACTCTGGTCATGATTGCCATCGTCATCAACACAATCTGTCTCGCCCTCTATCATCACAATATGGACGAGAGCTTCCGCCACAGTCTGGACACCATCAACACGGTAAGCATGCTCATCTAAAGTAGTGAATGATCCGAAGTCGTCAGTGTCAAGAGCCAATAGTTTATTGAGACTTGTACACGGGAAGGGCAGAAATATACTCATTTCTATACATTAAGGACAGTGCCTTGTTTATACGCTTTTGGAACTCTGCCCGTGAATACACTTCGGGCCTAATGCACCTCGCTTGGCATGACCTAGATAGTCTCTTGCTTCGAAACAAATTAACGTTGAAGGTATTGTATTCAAGCGATATGGATTTTGCTCCACAGTGGTGAACAGGATGAAACTATGCGGATCAGGTTTCGTCTATTACATAGAGTACGATCCCGTACGATCAGCTTCACTTGATTCACCTGGCAGGCCTTGCCCATGCCTCCAACACAGAAGAAGGGAAAAGGAGAAATAAGACTCCATAATGCTTAGGGTTGCCACCCGTTCGTAATTAGTATGGACAGTTCATATTTCAGATGTAATGTCCATACTGCAAACTTGTCTTAATATGGACACTACTTCATCCATACTTTAAACTTGTTAAGATTTTTTAGTTAATAAAACTTAATAGTAGCTAAAACCACTGTTTTCTTCGAGCCAGACTAGCATGCCACACTCTTATAGCATCAATTGGTACTTTGGCTAAAGGTGACTGTAGGTATTTGCTGCAGAACCACAAATATATTTGTGCTTCATATATTCGTTCTTATTTCCATATGTCCACAGACCATATGTCCATATTTTGCTAATTTCAAAGGTGGCAACCCTAATAATGCTCGTTGGGAGGGAGAAGAGTAGCGACTAAAGACCTGGAACGAGCACGAGTAGGGTATTAAAGTGCATCTACTACCTAAGAGGCAGGAGATTTTTCAGAGCCCAGCAGGGCTGTCTCAATCGGATACAGGGAAACAAAGTCTAGTCATTGCCTTAAAAAACTGGTCTAGGTAACTGAGGTTGTTCTAACATTAATTGCCAAAACGATACTTTATTGGAAAGGGCATTGATCCATCGGCATACATGGAGTCGGCGCCTACTAACAAGGGGTATTAGTTTGATTGGACAAAAACGTCTACAAAAGTAGGCGCAACTGCTGCAGATTACTTCTGTAAATAGATGTTACAAGTGGGTTCCAACAGCGTGATGGATCAGCCCTGAAAAGAGATGATTGCAGAGAGGAACCATGATACCGACAGGGCTGTCCCTCGGGAAATGGTATTGTTATTGCATGTGTTCCGGGATCTCATTGCGGCTATAGACACCATCAACCTTACTTATTCATGATTACCTGCTCTTACATTCATTACTCGGTTCCGATCTTCCTAGCTTGGAGGAAGTTAATGTACACGTGGACTGCTACCGTTTCAACTTATTTGGTTTTATCTATCGTCCAGTCGTGATGGATCCGAATGCTTTGGCTCTCCTCTGAATGGCCAAGAATACAATTCACGAGGATTCCTGTTCTTTTCAGGTTCTCACGGGACTGTTCGTGTTGGAGGCGGCACTAAAACTCCTTTGCTTGGGAGTGGAATACCCGACGGGCTGGAACATTTTCGATCTCATCGTCGTTATCGTCTCCTTATTGGAATTGATCATCGGAGACGTTGGAGGAACCTCTGCTTTTCGGAGCCTCAGACTGGTACTCAGACTCGTTATTCTTTCCCCCTCCCGTTTTGTTTTTTTTTGCCCTTTTTAGCCTTGTCTGCAATATTATATCACAAGCCAAAGAGAAATATGAGAACACTTTTCCGTTTGATTAAGCACAATCGGTGTGGAATCCTTGCCAACTGGCGAGTCATCTTAAATGCGAAAAGATCCAAGTGGATTCGAACGTAAACGCTATGCTGAACTTTCTTCTGAGCTGAGTTAACGGTCCTTTAGGAATCCATGGAATCCTATGGAGAAAAAGAGTTTTTCTCGCCTAAATGAGGCTTCAGTATTTGGGCCCTAGGCTGGTTTCAAAACGGCAGTTTAGTCGCAGTTCGGTTCTAGCTTCAGTTCAGACTTTGGTTTGATCGAAGTACCACTGTGGTCTTAGCAATTATTCATAAAACAAAATCTCAGCTGGAACTGCAACTGAACTAAAACTGAAACTGAATTGCAACTGAACTGGGACTGGACTGCAGTTTTGAAACCAGCCCTAGTCTTTGAAGGGGGCCTGTGTGCCGAGAAGGTGGACTTTGCAAGGTCTCTGGTACGAATTTCCAATAACATATGCTTCATTCTGAATTCCATGTAGGAGGGTGGGTTTTTGCGCAAAACGTGTACATTCTCGGTTTTCTCGAAGTTATAGTTCCCAGTTTAATTTTTGAGTTCCTCGTTTTCTCTAAATGTAGATAGGGCAGAAAGTAAAAGTGGAGCACGATTGACGTTATGCCTTTCAAATTTCTGGTAATTCGGTTAAAAGCGTAGTTGGTGTGAACATTACTTAGTTCCCCTCCGGCATTCGCCGTCACGTGAAGATAGCACGACTGTAAATGGAATGGAAAAGGCATACTTCTGCGAAGTGCACGGAAACTAAGCTTTAGAGGTGTTCCTGTAATCGGAGTGCATGGCCACCATCTTGCTCTCATATTCATACAGATGAGATTCTATTCGTTTGCACTAACAGTGTGTGCTGGTCAACGATTTCAGTCATGACTCTTACCTGGATGATATTAAATCTGAGATGAGCAGTTGCTGTATGACATCTCCCTTATCCAAGGAGCGTCTGAGTTCACACGTCATTCCGAGCATTCCGACTGTTCACATTCCCACTGTATGTTTGGATTTATGCGCCAATCTCCGACAAATAAAATACCCTTCACGTGCATCCATGTGAAAGCCAATCTATTTGATGAGGCACCGAGGTTTCCTGGGGATTGAGAAATCTTCCACTCTTGCACACGCCTCGTAGAATCAAAGGAATTCCGCAATTCATTGCGCCGGAGAAATGGGTAACCATAAACTCTATAACTTTCTGAGGCAATTTCCAGACTCATGCATCAAGATGCAAGATGCGTTTTCTGTGATTATAATTTTGCATGGAATAGACTCGGAATTTCTCCGGATAGAAGAGAAATCCCTACAACGGTGAAATATGACGAGAACCACCATATTTTTTCCAGTCCACTCTTCCATTAAGATTAAGATGCTGCTGCGCTGATCAAACAATTTTTTTTTCCAGCTCCGTGTGTTTCGACTTGCTCAATCGTGGGTGACGATGAGAGCCCTACTTGCCATAATCTGGGCCACTTTAGGAGCCCTGGGAAATCTCACCGTCGTACTTCTCATCGTCATCTACATGTTTGCTGTTCTTGGCATGCAACTCTTCGGCCACCTGTATATCGAGGAGAATTTTCCGGATGATAATCTCCCCCGGTATGGTCCTTCGCCGTACGAGTATCGAAATGTCTCATTCTCTATAAATTTTCTCTCTGACAATCGCTTGAATTCGTTACAGGTGGAATTTCCAGGACTTCCTCCATTCCTTCCTCATGATTTTTCGTATACTGTGCGGAGAATGGATCGAGCCCTTGTGGGATTGTATGAAAGCCCAGGAAGATGAGAATAACGTGAGTCTCTTCCCGTCTTGGGGATTGTAAGGTTCGAGCTTCTACGCATCTAATTAATTCTTATTTTCTTCTAGTTGAAGGAATCGTGCATCCTCTTGTTCATTCCTGTGCTTGTCATGGGGAACTTCCTCATCCTGAACTTGTTCCTCGCCTTGCTCCTCAACTCCTTCAATTCCGAAGACCTGAAAAACAGAGAGGAGGTAAGAGGCTCGTCCGTTTTCGGCTCATAAAATGCCATTCCATGGAAGCTTGCTCACGTTCTCACATATCGGCACTTCAGGAAGAAATATCAAAAAGTTAATGCAAGTGGTCAGCATTGTCCAAGTGCTTTCCATACTCAGTTTTTCCTACTCAAATGTTCGTTACCCAAATACGTACGATTATGCAGCCAAGAATTACTTTCTCCAACCTTAGCCTTTCACCGACGGTGAGTGAAAGTATATTTTGCTTAGATATTTCGTAAAGACCAGTAATAATTGATAATTAGTAATTTTCCTTACTGCACGAAAAATTTACAGGTGAAATCTTCGCTCGCACACCATGTATAGACCAAATTGTGAGTATTTATGGACCACCCCTTGTGCTGTTGGCCTCTACACTGCATCGGAAAAACTCCAGTACACTGCGAGAGTTTCGCATTACTTTTGGAATATTTCACTAACAGAATTCTCTTACAATTAGAAATAAAGAGAGCATTATATGTTGTCAGACAGCAGAAGATGCTGGTGCTATTGCGAACCAATCCCAATTGAATTGCATTCTCGACAATATCAGCACGAACAAGCTAATAAGTATGACAAGGTTGCTTTAGTTTCTTTCTCACCAGGAGAACATTGGTTATGTCAATTACTCGGACGACCCTGCTGTTGAGGGAAAACAAGCTGTGTCCTCTAAAGGTACACATTGCATTGAACCATGTCTTTCTCCCAACAGCAAGAATCGATCGGATCCGCCGGTCTCACGGGGACTTTTAAATGGCTCGCCACGAAATTGCGTCTGTATAAATTCTGCAAAGTCTTCCTTCATCTGGAGTGCCCGACTCTGAAAGTCGAACAAGATTTCCAGGTAACCTTCCCTCTCCCCAAACCCTCATCATCATCATCCAATCCCATTTACCCATCCTCTTCCCCACAAAATATCCCCCCCACCTCCCACCAAAGAGCAGGAAATGGCTTCCAAAATTAGGATGAATGCACAGCACAGGTGACAGTACCCTCATAGGAAAACTTATGAGCCTCTAGATGCTGTTACTGTTTGGATACGGGATCATGCCAGATGGGATTACCGGGCACCAGAAGAGAAAAAGCATGCTGATTTTTCAGGAGGGTTGGCCTAGAGTGCACTCTCCATTTGCGAATCGCAAACGCCTCTCTCTACGTCCTGTCCTTCCTTGATGGATTACCTTGGATGGACTAAACTATATATTGATCGCCAAAAGAAAGCACGATCAAGGAGTTGAGTGATCTTGATGAAATTTGGTATCCAAGCTCATACTAGCTATACTATGAAATTGGTTAGAATTTCAAGTGTGTGATATTAATATTTATGAAGAAAACATACCAATTAATCTAATTTCAATAGCGGCTATGGGGTCATATTAATCGCCCGAAATGGTTACCTACAGTATGAGCCAAATATCTGGAATCCATGGGGAATGTGGAAGGTGCTCAATGTGACCGCCGTTCCTTTTGATTCACACTTCCAACCGACGTAATCACTCGTCCTTTGTCAGTTCCGTATCACTGCCAACATAAATAATTCAAATTTCTAAGGATAAGCAAATAATTATAATAATAATCAAATATACTATTGATTCCAGACATTTGCCTATATTTGCACGTCACACCAGGATCTATAGTTTTAGACCAGGAAAAGCTAAAGGAAAATGTTGGAGGATGAGTGAAAATGTTTCCGAACTTTCTATTTAATAAAACAATCATTGCATTTAGATCATTCCGCATTCGGCAGCTCTTAGAAATATTACCTGGCAGCACTTAGATTAATCATGAACCCCCAGTATATCAATGAGTGGATAGTAGATCAGCGACGATTTATCATAGGTGTAGACACAAAGTCGTAATGGCAATGTTGTGAGCAACACGCAAGCACTAAACTTTGGAACTCTAGCTGCTAACTAGACTTTCGTGGACAAAATGATGTCCGGTGATGAAACATAGGTTCACTCTTTGATCCGGAAACGAAGCGCCCGAGTTGCGCTTGGAAATCCCTTCTCCACAGTGACCCAAGAAGTTGAGCATGGACAGGGTACGTGGCAGAGTCGTGCTTTTAGTTTGAGACTTGGAAGGGTAACAGCCATCACGAACAGATACCCGAGGGTCAAATGATTAAAACAGGCTGTTCTACGTGGGGGGGGGGGACCAAGCACCTCCTTTCGTTTACGGCTACGAACACATTAAAGAACTGAATGTTGCAACGCGACAATGCTCCGAATCACTTGTCACTCCCAGAGGGTGAATTTCTCGCCAAACATACCAATATCCGGGTGTCACATACACCCTAATTCTAAAGCATCCTTCTTCCTTGTCTAAAATTCAAATCGAAGGAACATCGCTTACCCAGTTCATACGAAGTCAAGTGAGTCGCGATGGCACAACTCGGAGCTTGCAAAGAAGGACTGGAACTCTGCTTCAAGCTGTTATAACAATTTTGCTAATGGTGGATTAATCAAGGGACAACTTCAATGAAGATGGGAGTTAATTGGTTGCGACTATTACGATGAACTTGAGGGGAAAAAGTTAAGAAACTTTTTGTCTCACCCTCGTAAATGATCGCGTTTGCTACAATAATGAACAGTGACTAAGATGAATGAGATGAATAAGATGCAAGTTGCCTTCAGGGATAAACTATGGATTTAGTGGGAGGGGGGAGAGGTAAGTGCTCGACCTCTAGTTGAGGACGTTAACACTGACAGTATCACCTATTTGGTACCCATCTTCAGTTAGGGACTCTTGTGGGATTTTATGTCGGTAATCCAGATTGCGTAATCCGTCGCAACAGACCCTCATGGATTCTGTGAATCATTAGCAATGCGATTCGCTTATAATTGTGTCCTTGGGGAACAATGCGAAATTCTATCTGGTCAATACCACTTTGTTGTTCTCGACGATTCCCGTCAACACGAAGATAAATTTGATCCAATCAAGGATGAGATCACAGTTTCGGAAACGCACCAGCCATCCTTCCTATTGAAACCTTTTATCCCATCTCCTCTTTATTCCATCGGGCATTACTGCCAGCATGGGGACTTGCTTGCAGAGACACATCATCAGCTTCAAAGTCACCAACAGATACTTCACGGAGCGACTCCAACATTCGCTTTCGTTTCATTTTCTCACCACAGCACTCTTGTTTGTTTCACTTCACTGCAGGAGATGAGAAGAGAGCGAGCACCAACCCGCTATGACTCCTTCAAGTCCGCCGTCAGCTCCAGATTGAATTTTATGGAAGGAGAGGGGGGCACGAGTCACTTTGACTTCCCTGGTGACTCCAGCGTTGCGCGGAATGTCCCCGGTTACCGTTCGGTAAATGAAGAATTCGAAAATCGTCTCTAATGCTGTCGTGCATGACAGCAGCATGTATAGTTTGTTGACCCCGACTCCCATTCATGTTCGTCTAATTCGTTCATAAATGTATATTTATAGGTGTGATTATATTGGGTGGCAAACAACCTAAGTTTACTTTTGTTGACAATGCATTTTTTCATGATGTGAATTCATTTTCTTTTCTGGTATAACAATATTGATGTCGTAGCATGACAAACCATAGGCCGAAAGCAGGAGTTCTTGTAGGAAGGAAAGAGATAAAGAATAAAAAATGATATGAAAAATGTCTGGAATGAAAGCATGATAAACGAGAAGGAAACAAGGAAAAACAATACAGGAAATAGAAGACTTTCCGGATGCTTTTCGTATTTTCGAAAAAGTATGAAAATTGTCACTTCGCAAATTCTGTTCCTGAATATTTGTATCTCGCAATCTGCAACCAGTATGCCCAATTAAGGTAACTTGGAAAGAACAGAAAAGGGATAGAATAGTATCCTTTCTTGTCAAGGGACTCACCTCGGATGAAAACGTATAAACTGTTGAGGGCCGAGACTCGTGAGCCACCCTGTTTACAGATTTTTAGATTAGGCAAATAAAGTTTTTTTTTTCGTAGATTGTGGAACGATGAAATGGACTACAGTTGCTTGTGCATGCATGGTCTTTGCTTCCGTAACGTATTGGATGCCTTTGCATGCAGGGATGCCTTTGTCATAAGAAACCTTACAAGCTGTGAGTGACTTGCTGTAGTACCATAGGGAATGCCAACTTTTTGGCCATCTATAATCCCACATCTTGAAGTATGACCGTCTTTGATGGTAAGAGCAAGAGTATGGCTTTCATTATTTTTCGCATTGCTTTTTGTCTCTTCCCAAGGAAAATTTGATGAGAAAAGCCATCACTCTTTAAGATTTGCAGGTAAATGCCTGAAGACTTCAGGCTGTTCAAGAATAGTTGAATCTTCAAGAACCTTGCATGAACACTTCAGGTATCCTTCATCAGCTACCTGAGAAGTCAGTTTAAAGAGGCCATCTTGACTTTCCTGCTTAAACCTTAAACTTAGCTGAATTTTCAGTCGAACACTAACGGTGTGAAGTATTCTATTTTTCCTGCAAATCTTAAAGGGAGAATGAATGACTCAAAATTTTCATCAAGCAACAAATCAACATTAGAAATATCAGATGTCTCAGTTTTGAAAGGAAAACTAAACAATATCTGCTGCCACGATCTCTCATGTGTATTTTTCTTTGAACAGGAAGAACGACAGCACAAGGAGATGTTGGATGATAGAGGAACTCCTTCAAAAATGCTGCTTGGAGATGCTGGGCCGAGGAGGAAAAGGAAAAAGGGTAAGGATGGGAGAAAGGAAGTTTTAATCAAGTCAGAGGGAGAGAGGATTCAGGTTACCGTTACATCTGCTGTGAGGAACATTGTGCCTCATGAAGATGCAACGCCAACCTTACTGAATGTCCCGATCTCTGTTGTGGTGGCACCTCCCACCCCAGCTCCTAGTACCCCCAACTCATCGCACACTACCCCTCTACCTGGTAAGAGTAGCTCCTTCATCTTGCTTGCCTTTTAGGATTTCGTTTTTGCATCATTTTATAACGGAGGATGGGCCTGCTTTGCGAAACCCCTCCAAAAGCATCTCCTACTTCTCCAATGCTCATTCTCCTGAGCTTTGCAGGGTAATTCCCCTGATATCTCCCCATCACTTTTCCCACACAACATGCAAACTTTTATGATACCATGTGCATGCGCAGGGTGGTTTGTGACGTGCCTTTTTTTTGCATGAATAATTTATTGTAGGGTTACTTGTGTTTATGCTTCACGTCGCTTGTGCAACCCCAATTTACCTCGTATTTTTTTCATTTCAATTATGTTTCTGGCTTCTCTTTCCACTCTCCACATCTTTCAAATTGGGACCACCAACCACGAGATTGTTTGTGCTGCTTACACTGACTCTCCTTTGTCGGTCTTCCGTTCAATTAAAGACGACGATGCCCTTAGTTGGGATTTGATCGTTTTGCATGAAGCCTGTTTGTGATATTTGGGAGGATTTTGTCGTCTAATCTTTAACCCATATAACACGGTACGTCCCGTTTCTATATGTGAAAGGCCTCTGAATACATAGCTTGGAATTGAAGGGGCGCGCGCACCTCCAGAAAAACCCACTCCTGAAAGGATCAAAGACTTGTAGCTGAGTTAATTTAAGAATTTCACACAAAAGAAGCACTCTATGGGTGCAATAATCGGATGCAAGTACATCTCTTCCGTCCTATCTGCTTTATTTTGAAGTTCAACAAGTAATATTCCCAGTTAGGCAATCTGTTTGTTTAGACAAACCTAGAGTCATAGTCGAAATTTCTGAAAACGGTTCACCTTACGGTTGCTTTTGGAACAACAAATGAGAGCACTGTTAAGGGTAGGCTACTTCTCCACCTCTTGACTGGGGAACTGGCACAAGTAGCACAAAATTAATAATTGTTTAGCTTTTATTTCTCGCCACTCGCTTCGACTACCGCGTGTCAGGTCATCGGAGAGGAGTGAAAAAAACCTTACTGCCATTTCCCATCTCAAGCAATCAATGGCAACTAGTGACATCCCGCAAACCATGGTGTCGTCCTGTCATCATTTGATAACTCCAGCCCAGTCTCCCATTTCTTAAGCAAGAATCACGGTGGCAACTAACGAGAGTTCCAAAAGGAGTCCAGCATGTCGACTCCAGCAGTATAATGCCACCGAAAGAGAGAATTACCTATCTTGAAAAAGTGATTACCGGAATGCCCACATCTAGGACTCATAAAATACCCAAGAAAGAGTGACATACCGTTCTTCGGGATTGTAGGGCACGATATCAAAATGGTTTATCGCTGCATGCATCTTTCATCGAACTTAACACTAATCAGACCAGAAGTTAGACTCATTTTAGACCAGCCTTGTTTTGGCAGAATCGATATTTTTCTCCTAGAAACTTGGTTGGAATGAATTCCTTGAACCTTTGAATCTTTTCTCCCTCGATGAAGTGGTTTAACAGCAAATTTTTATTTGATGATTATTCTCCCTTACGAGTAGAAAGCACTAAGATGAAAACTGACTTTTCTCAATTGTCACTGATGTTTTTCGCAAAATTGCTTCTTCATATCCTCTTCAATCCCTTTTTATTCCAGACCAGCAAATCGAAGATCTTGAAGAGTCAGGTAAGAAGGACCTCATGAATGATATGAATGATCGAGTCTTGGAACCAGAATCATGCTGTCCCGCCCTCTGTTACAAGTGGTGAGTCGTTTCCTTCACTCCGTTAATATTCTTACGAAAGAACAGAGCTATATTTTGGAATAATCATCATCACCATCAACCAGCACGATCCTATTGCGAAGTAAACCTATTCAGCGAGCAATAATTGGAATTCTGAAAGAAGTGTCGAACTTCAAATTGCTTTAATTCACTTGCAAACAGAGAAAATATTTTATCAAGGATAGACATGGCAGAAATTTGCAAATATTATGTGCAGTGTCTTAATCGTCTCTTGGTCGCTTCGGTGTGAATAAACTACACGGATGTACGAAAAGGAAAATATTGACGATGTTCAGCCTAAGAGTGAGCCGAGCGCAGCTCATTTTGATTCTCATTCACAACTCAGGCAATTCACAAGGAGTTGAGATACGTTGTGAGTGCAAAATTAGCTGAAATATCCCTGCTAATGAGGACTGTAATACTTTCAATCCCCAACAGCCTCGGTGACTGTGATAATCCATACCAGCGGTTGGTCCTGATATGTCGTCGAATCGTGTTGAAACTCGTCCAGCACTCAGCCTTCGAAGGCATCATTTTAGTCCTGATCATCTTGTCAAGTTTGAGTCTGTGTTTCGAGGACATTTACCTGGAGCAGAGGCCAACCCTCATTCTCGTCCTCCGTTATGTCAACACATTCTTTGCAGTGGCTTTCACGATAGAAGGGTTCCTCAAGATCTTCGCTTTTGGTGCCTGGACTTATTTCACTAATTTCTGGACACTTCTGGACTTTTTCATCGTCGTCGTGAGTTGACCCTGCTAAATTCTAATGCAAGATAGTCTCATAAATGGAGTGACAAAATTTTACTCTTGCTTAGTTCAAGTAACCAAGTCATTTCTTGGAAAAAGCTATGAGGAAAGTGAAGAAAAAGAGTACGAAACAATGCGTAAAACTTAACCCTAGTACTGCCGACGGAAAAGTTATTCACGAGATATCGCAATGAGGTAAAACCACTATGTACTTTTAAGGACTACTACGAAGAAAACATAAAAATCGAGGTAAATATATTTTAACTATGCTACTTGCAAAAAAAGAAAATCTATATAATTATAGGAAGGATTCTTTCATGTTCTAATGAAATATTGTGAGAGAGAGGTGAAAGGGTATGGGTGGATATTTTTCAGATTTCCATCATGTCTCTGTCTGTGGAGTCAGGGCAGCTCGGAGCGTTTCGAGGGTTGAGAACCCTCAGGGCCCTTCGACCTCTCAGGGCAATCAGCAGGTGGCAAGGGATGAGGGTCTGTTCATGTCTCACATTTCTCTTTCGAGCATGGCAAAATTGTAACATGTGTCCCTTGAAAAAATAATTATCAGCGAAATAACTCTTCCTTCCAATGACAAATTTAAACGCACTTTGTGGCATGCTGCAGAATGGAGAGTAGGCTGTAGGAGCTATACCAAACCCCAGACAGAAATCGAATCACTAAGGGTTATAGACATATGGACAGGGTGGACAGAGGTGAAGGAGAGCATGTTTATCAGGAACAGTTTAGTTCATGAAGATATCTCGGAACCAACTTGTATGCGCTGGCTGTTTTGTCATCAATGCGATCAATGCTATTCGTTTCAATCGTCATGGAGGGAACATTCACACTTTATACAGCATGGAGTGAGAGATCGCATTTTTTGTGGTTCATTTTTCTTTCACAAAATTCCAGCATATGCAGTATTATGCGCATTTGATGGAAGACATTCATTGTTTCATTAGACTTACTTTTCCTAATGCATGAAGGCTCCTTTTGGATTAACTCAACCTTTTAGTGGCTACAGAGGAGGAATCACGAGAGCTGAGCTCCTCAGCCCCCCCCCCCCTATTGTATCCCAAGCAATTGTCAAGCCGACTTGAGGCGCCTCGGCTTCTGCATGGAAATCAACTTAAATTACTTAAACTTGAACCTAATCAAAAGCTAACCCATAGCCAGAATTCCGGCCATCACAAAATGTTAAAGTTTTGAAATTACCACCGATTTCTCTCATCTATTTTGAAACATCTTTCAAAATCTAGTTTAAAAAATAAATTGATATATAAAATTTGAGTTGGTTAACTCAAAATGGGCAATATAATATGATACAATACAATTGGTCAGGGTACGTTTTCCAGATATAAAAAACCCTAACTTATACATATGAGACAAACCTTCGGGACGCATACCTTTATGGTAAAAATTGTTCTTCCTAGTCTTTCTTACAGTAGAGTCTTAGATTTTGATCGGCTTTAATCGCAGCTTCAGTTTCAGATTGACCACTGACAAAATTATACCTACAACACACCCATATTCGTTGGTGGAGGTATGAAAACTCTTCTTCCTCATTAAGCCATGCGTCGACTGACAGCAGATTTAAATAGAACTAGGCCAACTCATATTGAACCATGCTCGTCGAAAGGCACTAGCCTCTCTTGGTTGGCGCCTGCAGGGACCAAGAGTTAAATGACGATATCATTCTGCATTCTGAGACCTGGAGGGGGAGGCTGTTAACTAACGTTATTTTCTATGTATCATACACCAATCCAAATTGTTCGTCGCACTCAATGAAAGGCATCTTGCGGATCCAGGAGCTGAAATGAGCCAACAAAAAATTTAACCAGAAACGATGGAAAGGGCCGAAGATCTGAAATGGATGAATGTTTGATGCAGCTGGTGGTGTACGCGTTGATGCAAGCCATCCCAGCCATCTTCAACGTCCTACTTGTCTGCATGGTGTTCTGGCTCGTCTTTGCCATCATGGGGGTTCAGTTCTTCGCTGGCCGATTCTACAAGTGTGTCGATTTCGACGGGAACAGACTTCCTGTCAGTGTAAGTGCATCACAAGTCAAATAATCTCCCTTCCTTCCATGTTCACTAATTTTTGCTGTTAGATACGTTTCTATATTTTGACGAGTGACGTTTTCGCCTTGAAGTCAGCTTCAATTCACTTGCATTGGAATTTTTTAGGGAAGGAAGCCTTTAAAATTATGATGAAATGTACGATGTGAAATTGGCCAGCATAATTAATTACGTTATGGCAGATTCAAGCTTGAAATTGAAAATGTATGGAACGAAAAGGAACATATTTCTAGAGCTCAAGGAAATGTTGTTGCAAACATGAAACCTGCAATGAATCTGCTTGTTGCAGGTGGTGGATAACAAAGGAGCTTGTCTAGCTCAAAACTACACCTGGGAGAATTCACTAATCAACTTCGACCATGTTGGAAATGCATATCTAGCTCTTTTTCAAGTTGTAAGTCCCGTCAACCCAAAATCCATATTTTTTCAGCGTCAAATTCACAGGTAGAAGAAGTTTGAATATTACTTGAAATCCTCTGATATAGGCCACATTTGAAGGTTGGTTAGACATTATGGCTCAAGCCAGTGACATCAGAGGTATGAATCTTCAGCCCGAGAGAGAAGTCAACATGTTTTCATACCTCTACTTCGTCATCTTCATCGTTTTTGGGGCTTTCTTCACGCTCAACCTCTTCATTGGAGTCATCATCGATAACTTCAACGTGTTGAAGAAGAAGGTAAAGGGTCTATGGACATGTATATTTTACATATGGACATTTACACTTTAATAAACCTGGAACTACACATTGATATTTATTAGAGTAGGACTGGAATTTTCTACGCTGAGAATTTGCTAAAACATACATCATAACTTTATTAAATACTTTTCTATGTACTACTTTAGTTGCATACGCTTCGCGAAAAATAATTTTGACACAAATATGGAAAATCATCTAATAATATGCACCAGTTATTTGTTGCAAGAAAACATGAGCATTCTTATCCGTAAACTTAAGAATCAAATGACTTAGGTGCAACTGCGAATATTAAATGGTATCTCATGGATGTTTGTCATAGTACGATGGGAGATTCCTGGAATTGTTGCTCACGAAGAGTCAGAAGAATTACTACGCTGCTCTGAAGAAATTGAGTAGGAAGAAGCCCCAACGTGTGATTCGAAGGCCACAAAATCCCTTCATGGCCTTCTTCTACGATCTCTCCATGTCTAGAAGGTAAGACCTCAACTAGCTCCCCAATTTGAGCCCTATTACGAAGCAGAAGATGAATAACCGAAGAATGCCTAACCCAAGTGTAGGAGTTAAAAATTCTCGTTGGAATTTTGAACTGGCTGACACTGATGATGTTATTTATGTATTTAATTTTGACCAGTACTCTAATTTCTGGGCTAAATTTCTAAAAAAAAACCGCTTACCTGGATCTTTCTCGAAAGTCAATGCGAAAATACAATAAATTTTCGTTTCGTCAACTACGGGTAGTGAAAATAGTAACAGATAAGTTAGATGTGCAGACACAGATCAGAATTGCATTGCAAGTGACCGCTTTTTTTAATTTTAAACTTAAAAGCCGACTAAATATCACTTCCTGCTGGTTCTAGCCCGATTCCCTGATTCGTTCAGCAACGAAACGAAGAAAAGAAAGCAAAAGAAGGTATTTTCTCAGGAATGTAACAGTATAGAAAAATATATGATTAGAAGCTCCAAGTTTGAATCTCATCCGCTCTTCAAACACTCAATTAACTAAAATGTGAGAAAATGTTGTGCATTTGAGGTACCTTATTTCCAGCACTCCTTGTACGCTTATTCACAAGCGGCTCATATAAAATACTCTTTGAGCTCAGTAGTCATGCGCTGTTTTGTCTGGCTTTTGAAATGATAACATTTCTTTCCCTCCTGCTTCTGGCCCCGAACTTTAAAATCATAACTTGATGAATGACTTCTATTCCTCGATTGCAGAGCTTGACTTCATTCTCAAATTGTATGTATCGTTCTCTTTCAGATTCGAAATCGTGATATTCGTGGTGATATTAGCTAACATGGGAGTGATGGCTCTCGATCACTATCAACAAACGGAGGCGATGATGGAGATCTTGGATTCCATTAACACCGTCTTTGTCGTTCTTTACTCCATGGGTACGTCTCCGAAACGTGTTATGCCAGTACCGGTAGCACGGATTGATGTGATAAATATTCTTAGAAGCTATAGAAGTTGAGCGATATAGTCTTCAAGTTGAAATAACCATAGAACTGCAAAAGGAGAGCTTCGCATTTAAGAGAATGTCCGTTTAAATCCACAGTGGAGTTGAAAGTTGAATATTGCACCAGATCGAAAGTGACAGGGTCCACACTGCAATGGTACTTTCATTCCGGTGGAACATGAGTTGTTCGGTTGGAAGATTACTTTTCCGTTCCGGGATATCGAGCAGCGCATGGTAGGCATACTATTCCTTTTTAACGTGATTCTTAGGCCTCCTTGCAAAGATGCTTACCTGCACCCCACGAAGGATTCGTACTAGGATGGAATGATGAGGGCAGGGAGAAGACCAAAAGGAAATATCAAATTGGCAGGCGTGCCAATGAATCGAGTTTTAGTTAAGTTCAAGTTAAGAACTTCGCCTACGAAGTCTTCCATCTTCGGATCGAAGACGTTGATGAACGTAGAAAGAAATAGAGGGCGTTCATATGGATCGGCATCTTCCTTGGTGCTCCACTCGCTTTTAATATAGATGCGTGCAGTGGTGATAAGGTACAGATGAAAGAGAAACTTCCCATTGCACTGCACCGATTCCTTTCCTTAAGGAGAGAGGCGAGTGGTGGTTGCAGCATCTGATTGGGAATTGGAATCGGTCTTGGAGACTGTCACATTCAAAATACGATTATTAATCTGACAGAAAGAATCTGCGCGTTTGTCTTCGTCTGAGCTCTCTTAAATGAACTTATGAAGTGTTAAAGATAATTTTAAAGGAATCATTTCCATCAATTAATCAATTATCTTTTTTTCCATTGGATGATGTATATATGATATGATGTCGAGAAAACATTTGTCCGAACAGAGGCCATGATCAAGCTGCTTGGTCTCCGTTTATGGTATTTCACGGTTCCGTGGAACATATTCGACTTCATCCTCCTCATATCTTCCATTATTGCCCTGATCCTGGACTACTTCAGGGATATTGCTCTGCCCATAAATCCGGTGATCCTTCGCGTGGCCAGGGTCTTCCGTGTTGGACGAATCCTTCGCCTCGTCAGGGTACGTTTCAAAAGTCCATTTCCTTCTCATTCGGCATGTTTCACAATTATTTTATTTTTATTTTATTTAATTTTTTTTTTTGTTACTACAGGTCTTGAATGTGAGCCTCCTCCAATCATAATCCATTTCACATGTAAGGGTTGAGCTGTAGATACTCGTTTAATCCAAATCGAACCTGACATGTCTTCCGCCAATTTGCTAATTATGATTCCAGCCGATTCCCTCGGGAAATGTGTCTGTAATAGCGAAGCCCCCCAGCTCACTTAAAGCAGATCGTAATGTACAGACAGTCCTTTATTCAGTCCTTTATTGATCAAATTCCACAAGGTCCTTTGGCTGAGGTGAACGAGGAAAGTGCCTGCATCCTCTGTCACCGCTCATCAACAATCGTAGCCAGCATCATTTTGAAAATATAGAGAATTCTCACTGCAAGACCCTGTTAACTGCTGTAGGGTCCAACCATGACAACTAAATTGTAATACTTCTCTGATTATACAACTTTCTAAAATGTACCTCCCTCTCAACATATAGGTAGTTTGTTCATATCTAATTTAGATTTTTAAAGTATCGAATTAGAATAATCATTTCCTTATGCGCAGTACTTCTTATATATAAAGAACAGGGGTTGCCAGCTCAATTTTATTAGTTTATCGATTAATTAATGCCGATTAATACCGATCAATTATAATTGATGTTTCAATCTCTAAACATTGACCGAAAGTAACCGAATTTAAACCGGCTTCTCCCCCTTCTCGTTATTTCTTCTTTTCGAAATATTCTGCATTGTGCACATTCTTGCTTAGAGCTAAAATGAATGAATGATTTGAACCAGACGAGAGGATAGCTCGAAGAAGGCAGTCTTTTTTTACGGCCCAATCTTCAGGAAAAACTGCGTTTTTGTTGCAAAAGGAAACCTAAAAAGAAATGCAACGCCGTCAGAATGCTACGAAAGAAGTGAGGGCCCTGTCAGGATTACCTGTAGAAGGTAAAGCTCGTGTACCACTTTAAGTTAAGTCTGAGCGGTTGCTGCTGTCCTGCAAGGTCGCAATACGTGCGTGGATTCGGGTGGACCTAAATTGGAGGATTTTGCATAGAATGTGATGGGAACCAGGGTAGGAGAGGAGCCCATACCATCCGGTTTCTTACGCTTTCCAGGCTGTATGCAGAATATAAAAATAAAACTGAAATGCAGAAAGGGGGATCGGGATTGCATTCATCCTTCGGGCGCTGGATTTTCCCTTTCCCCTCCTGGGTCTAAGTCAATGTCATTTCCTCTGCTACCCCTTTCTGTCTCGTCCGTAAGCATGAATGAGAGGTACTTGAAGTGCCATTCATCAAAGACTGAATCGGATTAATCTCCTGGTAACCACGACTCAACTCGTGCGAATGTGGGTAACTAGGATTCCCCGTACACCAACGCAGCTCTCGAGGAATTAGATATTTTCAGTTCGACCCGGGTTATATTTGCACAATGAAGCGGAGCGGATCTCTACTTCATGCCATATCACACGGGTCCGTCCTTCCCTGGGCGGATTCATATCTGTGAGAAAACGCTCAGACCCCGCAGACTGCCGATCGTCGTGCAAGATGATTGTGACCGCTCATGTTCAAGTTTCAACTTGAACATCGATGACATCGATGTGATGAAACAACTTAAATATATTTCGCTCGCCTCATACAAGGAGGAACGTAGGGCTCAATTAAACTTCAATTTATCAATTTAATAGCCTCCTATTAATCGGACAATTATCGGTTAAATCGATGGGCACCTCTGTGAAACACGTAAAATCCGAAATTCGGTATATCTCATGCTCTTCCATAGTCTTGGATACGTCATATGTAGGTAATGACAGATTTCAATCACGAGGCCAGCTTCGTGGGTACCTTAATGAGTACGAATGGCTATACAGTATTATGGCTTGCACAAGCTGAAATCTTATCATCTTAAGGTCGTTACATGCTTCTGTCTTATAAAGAATACATTACGCTGCGAAGGTTATTGAAAATACATGAGAGTTACTTAGGTTATTGGGTCGTATCTCAGAACGGAGCATCCTTGCCTCTACATTTGAGGGTGAACCAATGAAAACTATATCAAAACAGAGACATATTTTATGCCGTGCGTTCTCAATTGTGGTAGACAATATCCAGGATCGTAAAAAAAATGCATTGAGTCAACAATCAACACCTTGAACATATGCACTAAGAAATAATTCCGACAAAGGCATTAGAAACAGGGTTTCTGTCTAATGCTTAGAAAAGGGGACTCCGATTCATAGCGGAATCTATCTTCTATTTTTTAACGTAAACGTGCTGTTCCGAAAAAACCTCGGGATCGATCCCTCCGACTGAAGCGAGTAATAGAGCTTTCGTCTCATTTTCCGGAAAATTCCAATCCATAGTCGGAATCGGGTTTCCGTTCACGGAAGTAAATTTCCGTCTCATTCGAGTTTTCCTTAATTACATTCGTTATTTAAGGTTCCTTTCCATTGGAAATACTGCATGACAAATGGGATTTTGGGATTTCATTACCAATACGCGACCTCCCCTTTATTAATCCGTGAGTATAAGGTGCATCCCTATCACGGGGAAGTATTGAGAAGTTCTATTCACAATCGCGATTATTCAGTATCTCCTAATAATTCCTTTAGGGAAAGATCGCGACCTATTCTCACCCCTCTCTCTTCTCAAAGAGGGAGTGATTTGAGGAGAAGGACCGAATCCTGCATCTTTTATACTTTGATTGATCCATGAAGTACGGGCCGCCTGCAGCCAGGAAATTTAGATGATGTCGGTGAAGCAGGGCTTCCATCGTTTCAGAGCAGTTCCTCTCCCAACGGGAGGAAGAAGCTGTCATGTTCTTTATTTCCCTTGTATCCGATAGGGAAATACGAGGGGTGATCCAAAAGTTTCTGCTCTGAGATATAAGGGAATGTGACAGACTGTAGAAACAAATTTTATTTTTCATCCTTACCTCCCTGGACATGAATGCTAGTCCGAATTGCTGGAACAGTGCTTCAAATCTATTGGGAAAAATTAATTTTCCACCGTCAACTAAAAATGCTGAAATGGGTTCACCGAAGAGACACCATTGTCAATTTCACCTTCATAGCCGCTTCACATAAAGTTTTGCTTCAAATGTTTATTATTGAATGATCTATTGTTTCGGGATGATTACATTTATATGAATAGTCTAAATACTAAATACAAATAAAATTATTTCGTATTCGGAATTCTAAAATTTGAATCTAACATTCTCAATGACTGGAACGTGTCGTCTATGCAAATTATTATAAAACATATGAATCCACCTAAAACCGATTGCTGGTCTTCTAAAATACTAAAAAGTATAAATGAATATGATAACCAAATTTCAGCTTTCTCCGATCATTACTACTACTTCAGGACAGAAACTTTTGGATCGCCCCTCGTACATATAAAAATACCTTTCTTCTTGCGAATGAAAACTGTGCGTTTTCCGAAGCATCACGATGTCATAATTAAGGGGATATCGGAGGCTCCTGGGAGTCATCTACCATTCGGAATGTAAACTAAAGGTATCTGGTGGCTTCCCTAAGGTGTCGATACGGAAAAGCCCGAACGATCGGGAAGGTTTTCTCCGAGAATATTCGAAGAAGGCTTTTCCGACACGAATGAGGAAATGATCGTTCGGTTAAACTTCGGAATTCGAGCGTACGTCCCTTAGCCGTAATATTTTTTTTTTAAAAGAAGGGGAAAATTCCGCCAATAAAACCAAAGTCGGATTTCCCGAGTATATGCAGGAAAAATTTTCCGTCTATTAGAGGGAATACTGGTTTACGTGCTCTTCGTTGGAAATTTTTACGATGGAGACACGGATATTTCCGATTTTTTTTTTTTACAGTGCGAGGAACTTTTTGATTAGACTTCGCATACAATCACAACTTTTTAGGAAGTCTTCAAGTTTGTAAATTTGTCAGAATAAACTGCTATGCCACGTCTAGTTTTTTATTGAGCCACCTTGTATAAAGTCTGCATTAACCCCTTAAATGGACTCGCCGCATATGTGCGGTCTGGCACCTGCCATCTCTCAATGGAATCACCGCACATATGCGTTCAAAAGTTCCCAGTTAAGGGGTTAAAGAAAGAAAATAGAGAAGGAAACTGTGTTTAGAAAATTTCGCGATTTTTCCGCCTAAAACATGGGCGACATTCCGCGCTAAATTGCGATTCGCAGTCGAATTATCTACGATTTTTGCTTGTGATACGAGTTTTTCCTTCCAATAAGAAAACAATAATACTTATGCCAAGCATGTACAGTATATGTATGTAAATGATACGAGGGTATGTGCTCGTGATCCCCCAAATCTTGTCATAATAGCACACCCATTGTTCGTAGGATGAGTGCGATTTTTTTTTAGCGCAACGCTGTAATGCCTAGTCTGCCTCTCGCTACTGCTGTCCACAAAGCACGCGAGTCGGGGCACTTGCACTCACCGGTTTGTTTTCGTGTGGAATAGCTTGAAGCACGGCACAACACCAAGACCAACGTCACGACTCTCACGGAAGTATAGAGTGCTGGCCTTACTCTTCTTCAGAGAGCAAACATGACAGCGCCTGTTTTCCATTAGCCGGCTATTCACTTTCAGGCGGGACAACTGAGAGGGCGGGGGGCTTGGCTGTTAAACCCAAATTGCAGTCACATTGCGATCTTGTACGAAATGAGTTAGATCTCGCGCAAGTTGCTCTCTGAATATTTCATGGGACAGTTTCCCCCAAGGACTGGCAAGGCCCTAATACGTCACCTGTGTTTCCGCTTCGTTTATATCTAACATTCGTACATACCAGCATACATATAGCGTCCAATATGTCTAAAATTCGGATGATGAAGACTAAGGAATAATTCGAAGGCGGCTTTTGCAATTCAGCAACACTTGAAAATATAGGTCTATCATAGACCATATCACGAGCAGACAGTGGGGGAAATTTCTAATTCATATAAATAAAATAAATGTTAAAAATACAAAATAGAAGCAATAGCAAGAATGACATTTAAAGTGACCTTTACCCTTTTTTCACCGTTGTGATCGAATTATTCGGATTTTTTTCATTTTCCTGTGGAGACATCGAACCATGGAGACAATTTGATATTTGATTTGCTCTGCTCGATCTTATCCTTCATTTTCCAGCAATGCCAGTTCTAATTATTTCTGGAACACCTGAGTTGAGAAAAGTAGCGAGCCTACTTTCTCAGCTACTTTCTCAGCTACTTATGAGAGGAAAATCTCATGAGTTTCTTCAACAGATTTTCTTGCATTGCATGTTTTTTTCCTTTTGACCATTTTCATGCTCCTTTAGAGGATCCTTCATTGAAGAGAATCTAATGGCGTTTGTTTTACTCAGCATGTCTGGCATAATTTGGTGGTGACAGCATGAACTGCCAAAAATCACTGTTTTGACCATATTTCCCTTAAATAGTGTGGGGAAAAAGAACGCATCCTGTTTGAGGCTTCATAAACTTACTTGCAAAAATGATTGATTTGTGAATCTTTTCTATCATATAGAAATCACTCTAAAATTTGTGTCACGAAAGTTTCAAAGTATTTAGGTTGGGTGAAGAGCAACGGTCGTTGAAACTTCGATAAGAAATTTCTGTTTCCGCACATCGGGAGGCAGCGGTTTCAGCATTACTCTACAGATGCGTCCCATTTTTATCCAAAAGCCTGCTGGTTATGACAGCATTCTTATTGCAATGTCATTGACTATGCAATGTCATCACGTTGTATCTTACAAAAGTCACTGCATTAAAGAGGTGTTATCGAAAGACCTGGGATGGAAGAGACTCCACGCAACAGAGTCCATGAATTGATAGGAAACTCTTCTGTATTCTTCTTCTTCATTCTTCTTCTATTCTCTTCCCTCTTCAATACTTATGCTCTAAACACACCATCAAATTCAAGCCTTACCTTCTCATCTGAGGCCAAAAGACACTCCACAATCAAGGATACTGTGACGAGGACACAACATGAAAAACAGCTTTCATAGCTCAAGGAGAGAAATCTTTTGAGAGGTGCTGAGATTGCATCCACCTCATGCGTGGAAAATTTTCATTTTATGACTGTACTTCGAATGAATGTCGATATTTTTCAGGTTACCGAGACATTAAAACTTGAAGGATGCAAATTATGTCGTGTTTCCAAGGTATCCAAAATAAATTCCAAAATAAATCACGAACCTGGATCTTCCACAATCGGTTTTATATGGCGTCAAACACTATGCGTTTTTTTTTGCACTTCCCGATATAACTTTATTCCATTGCACGAATAATAATTGACAATAAAGGAAGAAACTAATAGACAGTCTACGTTTATCAAATCGCTCGAAACAGAAAAGCCTTGTGCGGCAACTTGGTCTCTATCGAGCCGGTCCGAAGCGCGTTCGTTTCCCATCGCCGGCTCATTTTCACAGTCATCTTAAGGCTGAATATCCATGCAAGAAATCTAAATGCCTCACCAAATGCCTGAAACCAAAAAAGGAATCCTTTCTGCAAAAGTCTTTGTGGAAGTGATCGCATGATTATGGCGAGATTACGACGAGGGAGTCTATACATCAGATGAGCGAGTGATGTTTCATCAAGCCTGCCAGAAACAAGTGAATGTATAGAACAGTTTCCAGCATGACACTAGCCTGAAACATCAGAAGGCCTTGGAAGGAAGGATCCAAGAAAATCAAGTGTTTTCTTCAGGAGTCCCTTGGGAGAAATAAAAAATATGACATTTCTTTCGATCTCTGCCATGAGATCTTGCCGCCGACATCCCTTAAGCCAAAGTCAACGTTCCACTATTCAAATCAACGGTTTATTGGAAAAACACTAAAAACGATCCATCCCAGATGAATCTAAACTTCGCAACTGGTACTTTCTTGTGCTATGAAGAGGTAAGATCCTAAGTTAGATATAGGCCTAAGTTTTAGGCCTAGGGCTAAAGAAGAGAGCAAGACTATGCATTCCAGTAACTTGACCATAAGAAAGTGAATGAGCAATTCTGTGCAGAACTAAGTAATTCCTCCTGATAAACAGTCTGTAGTTCTGTCTATGACTGAATTTCAGATCAAAATCAGTATCAAAAAGGACCTCCAGGACTGCTTTTTCTGGTTCAGCACAGGTGTGACAACGGATACCATTGGGAGATATATTGCCAACGTAATTCTGGGAAAACTAAGCTAAGGAAAACTAAGGAAAAGGGTCTTGAAATTCCACATTTGGTTGCCACAAAGGCTTTGAAGAAGGCCAACCACGTATCAGTAGTGGAACTGATCAACAACACTCTGGGTACGTTAATTTTTGGCTACCTCAAGAAAAACTTTATTCGATTGAAACAGAAAAACATAAAACAGAAGATGAGATGTAGGATCAATGATCTTTCTCTCCTAAAGTCACTCGAGAAAGATTCATCCTGTTTCTCATGGATGGAACTCCATTCATGGGCAAAGCTGGCAAAGTGCTGAAGGTATTCGTCCCGAAAGTGCTGCTCAGGACTTGCCTGGTACATGCTCTTCTTCGTGTCTGCGAATTTGTGAGGGAAGTTCCGCCAAGTTGACAACCTCGTAGATACAACCCCGCGAGTGTATTTGAAAGCTCCATCTCGAATTGAAAAGTTGAAAAACTGCCTGCCTGACCCTCAGTTGCCAACAGAGCCCTTGCTCACTAGATAGGGCACATGGCTGGAAGCTGCATCATATTATGTCAATAATTTTGACTATGTCAAGGAAACTGTGGACTCATTTGCTTCAGAATGTATATTGTATTCAGGCTTAACAAGAAGCATTCTAATTTGAGAGTGTCTTGGGATATTTGGTGTTTTTTGAAGCTCATCTTTCTTTTCTACCTCACATCAACCAGAGATTTGAATTATGCGGCTCAAAATTAATAGCTTCTCTGGAGTTAATCAGTTCTGTAGAGAAACGGCAGAAGTCTACTCCTGCATCTGTTAGAAAAAGCTCTTAGGCATGTTTAAATAATTGATTGATTAATTGCGGAAGAATCCTGATCTTAAAATTCAGTCCATTAATAAATTTCTTTTTGGGGATTAATCAAACCAGTCTAGGGAAAAGTTTCCTGCCATTGTCATTCCTCACTTCATGTACTGTATGCCCCTGTCACTAGCGTTGATGTTGAGTGCAATGATTCCGTGTTTAAAGCTCTGGTATGATCCAACCGCCAGAATTTGGCTCCAGATAGTTTTGAAATGATGATAGAATGCTATTGTGCCCATTCCAATTGCAATTATTGAAGTGCCCAATTGAAGAAATAAAACATTACTACCATCCCATTGAGAAAATTTTTGAGCCTGCTTTTAGCATGTTTTGTCAGCATGTTTTTTTTTTATAGCATGTTTGTTTTATACATTTTTGCTGCACGAACGCATCATACTTTGCAAATTTATAGAGCACGAAAATCCTGTCTCTACTCATGAATGTTTCATATATCTTGAAGGCTGCGAAGGGGATCCGAAAGCTGTTGTTTGCATTGGCCATTTCCTTGCCGGCTCTCTTCAACATCGGAGCACTCCTCTTGCTCATCACATTCATCTATGCCATTCTCGGCACATCCCTCTTCGGACACATCGCTCACAATGGGGCTATCGACGCCTCTGTCAACTTCGAGACTTTCCCCAGGAGCATGCTCGTTCTCTTCAGGTTTGCTTCTAGTCTGACAAGATATGGCTCGTCCTGTGGCAGTAGTGGACGTAATTTGTAGAGATTCACAGTTTCTGAATTCAATATTCTGAAAAAAATTTTAATGATGTCGAGGGCGATTTATTCTGGGAGCAGTAGAATTCATCCGTAATTGATTGTAATGTAATAGAGTTCTTGAAGCTTATATGACGCATTTTTTTATGGCATTACTCACACCTTCGAAACTTGAACCTTTTAAACCTCCATGAAGTTTTTAGATGATTGAGACGATAGAGAAGTAATGGAATGGGTGATAGGTGGATGCTGAGCATCCCCGACATCCCCGTTCGGTTTAGCAATAGTCTGCAGGAGGGAGTATGGATTAGAAACAGATTTAATCATAAACGTAGTATTCACTTTCGTGCCCTTCGCGCTGGTCAGAAGTGTGATCTTGGCTGCGAAAGATGGACTCTCGGATAGATCATGCGAACAATAATTTGTCTGAAAGCAGGAAAGGAATTTTATTTACCTGTCCTGCTCGAGCTATCTCATAAATTGCTTTTTAACTACACAAGACAGCTTTACTGTAGGAATAGACCCATGGTGAACTGAGATGCATCATTCTACCATATCAATTTTTACCCATAACTGCCATCATAAAAGAGAGAACCGAAACCCACAAGTGAAGGAATTACTTGAGGATGCCGGAAACCATCCGATTATCACATGCGGGAACTTTATGGATCTTAACGGATGGAACTTTATGGAAAAACAAGGGCAGGAAAGAAAGAGGTCTCAGTGACAGAGATCTCAACTTCTCGATTCTTGATTCTCGACTGTGAATGAGTTCGCGGAAGTCTTAAATGCAAATATTGAATATTATCTAGTCCAGTATTCTACGCCTTCTTGGCTTCAACCGCTAATGCCGCTCTCAGCCCAATAAAAATGGTGGTGTAATGTATAGCAAGGGGAAGATTTCCAAAATAATCTGAAATGTTTGGAAATGTAGGTTGCTGACAGCGGCCGGACACAGCGACATCTTGGCGTCTCTGATGGTAGAGCCACCCGAATGCGACCCCACTCTCCCTGGCACATTCCATGGATCCTGTGGCACTCCTGCCTTAGCCACCTTCTATCTCGTCTCCTTCCTCCTCATCAACAACCTAATCATAATCAACATGTATATCGCCATAATTCTCGAAAACTATTCTTTGGCTCAAGAAGAAGAGGAACTTGGAATTGTGGAGGATGACATCGAGATGTTTTACGTCCATTGGGCCAAGTGAGATTTCTTATTCCTTCTTAGAATTTTCTTTGTCAAAGAAATGAACGACCCTTTTGCCTAAAAAGAGGCCACGGTACACTCCTGCCATTTTGGTTTGGTATCTCGTTGTCATTCATGGACTCCCTTCTTGACATCTTAGTTCTGGAGAGCTTCCCCATTCATTTGAACCAATGAGCCCCAGTCTCATTGAACCTATGCTCTCAAGCATGATCGTTTTGTAAAAGTGCTTCTTTGTTCTATTCTAGGTACGACCCATATGCAACTCAGTTCATTCCATTTTCGAACCTGAGCGATTTTTTCGCTGGCTTGGATCCTCCATTGCAAGTGAAGAAACCCAACAAGGCAGCTATTACTCATTTCGACCTCCCCGTTTGCCAGGATGAGAAAGTCCACTGTTTAGATGTTCTCTATGCCCTTGTCACTCATGTTCTCGGAGAGGTCGAGGAAACCGAAGAACTCAAACAAGTATGCTAATTTTTATGTCTCCCTTATAACTTCTGGTTTTTTTTTTCATTGCATCCTAGTTCTGCTGCCGATTAGAGAGTTCAGCAAGAGTGGAAATTCCATCGCTGAAATGCCCAATTTCTTTTTTCTCTCTCAGCTTCAACAGCAGATGGATGACAAATTCAAGAGGCAATTCCCAGTTCGAAAGGAGGCAGAGATCATATTGACAACATACGAATGGCGTCTGAAGGAGCGAGCCGCCATCATCATCGAACGAGCATGGCGTGATTTCAAGTAAGTCCTGGACGAAACTTCGAATGTAGACTTCACTGGTATTTTCTGGTCTTTATTAACTAAAGGGTGGTATATTCCGCAGCAGTTAACTAAGTGTCTATATATTTGGGGCCGATTCTGTTAAAAAGAAAGGATCAACAAGAATCAAAAAGAATTATTTTAAAGAGATTTCTGAAAATGCTAAACCTACGGTGCTGGAGGAGTTCATTGTCATGAAAGTGATTTAGAACAAAAATGTACCACATTTCTGCTCGAGGAGACCTAAGTCGCTGAATTACAGTTTTAAAAATTTTTCTATTTCTAAAAAAAGTTTTCTATTGATTGTACTGGAGCTCTGAGCACCCAAACTCATTTTCCCTTGGCTTCAGATCGTGTAATGAAAAAAAGAAATGTAACATCTGGATAATAAGTTTTAGGTATTGCTACATAGACACTGAAGAAAAGAAAACAAGTTCTGACTCTGCCTGCTGCCTGCTTTTCTTTTTCAAAACTTTGTTGATTTCCCTTTACGTTTTGTTATCAAATGGGAAAGTACTGGAGTTGACAAGTGTAGCTGTTCTTACGAATACTCAACCATATACAGAAAATTTAACATATGAGGAAATGAGGAAGCCGTCCGAATTTAACAAGGAAAGGTTAATAGAACTTGATCAGAACTGACCGGGGGGGTGTATTGAGGCGGGAAGTGAGCCAATCAACCTTTTCCTCCCTAATGAGTATAAGACCCTTCTTTTGGCAATTTTTCGACAAAACGCAAATTTAAAGAACCGGACCACTGTGTGCATTTACTTCAGTCGACATGTTGCTGAAAGAATTGTGAACTGTTGCAGGAAGAGGGCGAAGGGGAGGAAGAGCGGAGGAGTAAGTCCCCGCGCGAGTTTCCGTTTGAAGGAAGGCTTGATGAACACGCTATCCACCATGTGGAATCCTCCATCTAGTAATTCCTCTCGACAGAACTCGGCCCGCAGTTCTGTTAGTCGAAACAGTTCCGGCGACACTTCATTCGGACTCGGTTTCTTACCCTTACCAATACCTTTTTCACGGAGGAGCTCCCGGACTTCCAACTCGAGTCGAACCTCTTTTGAGCGCCAGGTGATGATCCAGGAAAATAATATAGAAGGTCCTTGACGATGATGGTCTTCTAGCTTATGAAGTGCATCGTTCATCACATTATTTTTTGACGGAGTTGCGTAATGGAAATTCGAGGCCGCACCGTTGGAGTTGGTCATCTGTGCCGATGAGGAACGCTCCTACCTCGCAGAACCTCAGTTTTTCGAGGCTCTTACCTGTCATTATTGCCTTCTTATTGCAGAAAGAGCTAGTAAAAAATATTACTCTTGTTGCTCAACGAGCCACATTTATTTTGATTTGAATTTATTTGGATATCTGTTTATACTTATATATATACTTTTTGGCGAAAAGTTCACGACCAAATGGATGCCAAGCTTAGAGCATATGTGAGATGAAGTAAAAATTTTATCATGTTTCTTGTTATTTTTAGTCTCGCAAACTTATAACCAGGGAGTGGATTTTTATGCAAATCCATATTTTTAATGCAGCCTCGTAATAGGATAAAATCCAGGTAGACGCATGTATTATTAGGAGAGAAAGCGATTGATGCCAATTTGAAAACACATAAAAATACATACTTTGCGTTTTTATAATTAAAAAAAATATGCATATTCACGCATGTTTTACCCACCTCAAAAGGAAAATAGGTTTTCCGGGAAAACATGTTTTCCAGCAACAATGAAATTTTTCCATCACTTATATTCTGTGACAAAAATAGACCAACTACGTCCAGCAAGCACCTGATTTCATCACCAAGCTTCCACCCCTTCCTCCACTGTGTGGGGTAAGAGGATGCTTGAAAATATGAATAGCACATTACAGTTCCCTCTTCCAAAGAATTCATTCTGTGGTATAACATGCATATTTTGCATATTCATGCATGTTTCATGCATATATTGGCATTTTAGGCACATACCGAAATGCATATTTTAGGACTTATTTACGCATAAAAATCTGGGGCCGTATTCTATTGCGTTCTTAAGTGCGATTTTCCTCTTAGCAAGTTGCTTAGCTGGTATTTGCCCCATTTAAATGCATGGCCGAGGTTGAGCGATTTGCTTTAACTAAGTTTAAGATTTTAATAGAATACGGCCCCTGCTCCCTACTTACATCTTACAAATCCAACAAAAAGAAGACATCTTCACGCAAGAAGACCCAGCAATATCAATGGAAATATTGAGCATTATGTCATTTCTATTAATAAAAAAGGAGGCTTAAAAAAAAAGCAGCAAAACGAAGTTCAGAGACTCTGGTTGTTGGGGTTGAGTAGCATGTGACATTGCTATGATACGGTAGGGAATAGAGGAGGACCAGAGGAGAAATGGAGAGAGGAAGAGACGGTTATTCGAAGGATAAGAGATTTAACAAATTTCATCCTCAACAATCCTCCGGCAACAATACAACAACTTGAATGCATTTCGGGAGCAAAAATGATGAAGAGAGGAGGAAGAAATCCAAGCCCAATGAGTCTTAAGTACACACCAATGAAGAAATGAAGGAAGAGAAATGAGAAATGGTTTATCTCTTCATCTCTTCTACCCGAGACACAGCATGCGCAGAAACGGCTTGTGCAGTCATGGCACCTTCATGAACGTGCAATTACTTTTCTTTGGAGATGCGTGGCATCTTGAACGAATATGAATATTTAGTTGAACACGATTTAGAGCTCCAGAACCTGAGCCAGTGTATGCGTTCAAGCCCGCTCGTAAGGACGAGTTTGAGTCGTGACTGTGGGAAGTTTCATTTTTATAAAAGGACTCCATTATTCTAGGATTCTCAGTATAGTGTCTTTGTCTTACCATCGTGCTCATTCCAAAGATTCAACAGGACCGGCCCCATCTATTTCGGCGCCCAGAGAGACTCCCAACGCCGCTTCTCCTCCTTCAGAAGGGAGAAGGGACAATCCCTAGCGTCCAAAATGACGCCAAAACAGAGGGCATTTCCACTTTCTGGAGTAAAACTGAGGGTGGCGTCTATTATTGCTTTATATATTTAGTCGTTTTGACGCCCCTGGTGAATTTTTGCCCTGTGCGGGGGTAGATGGGGCACATGCCTAAGGCTGGCCCTGGATTCAATTGTGACATTAGTTACGACTTATTGCGTGCTTCATTCAATTTTTAGCTCTCCTATGGAGTATGGAGGATGATCCTATCCTGGAAAACTATTTGAAGTTGGATAATAACTTGAAACCGGGGAGGACATGAAATCACTTCGATTGAAACCAGACAGAAGTGCCTTGCAAGGTAGCAAACGTAATTCAAACAGGAGTGGTCAAGTCAAAGGCTTACCGAACTAGGGTTAAACATATAGCGCATACGAAAAGGTGCATTGAATACCATAGGAATATCATTTCGTCGTATATGTTACTCTCTTTGTCTGTACGTGATTCAGTAGTTTATTTGCTAGAGCAGATAAACTACTGGATAAAATAGACAATTAAACTTTGCAAAAGTATTCCTTAGCTCCCGAGGATTTGCCCTTCTCTTGCGGCAAAACTTTCACGCGCAAAATCACATTCACTGACGTAAAGGCTATGGCTTACACACGTCATAATACGGGTACGGGACTAAAAGTGTTAACTTTAAAATACTTACCTTCAAATAATTGCAAAAAAAAAACATGTCAGAATAGTTAATTGGTATTCAGCTCATAACTTTACTTCGGATACAGATTCGGTCGAAAGCATGAACCTTTTTACTCTATCAGTCGAAATGAATCTGATGACTGGGATGAGGTCGGTGGACACGATTGGAAACGCCGCACTAAGGCTTCCAGCATACTCCTTCCCAATGCAAATTTCCATAGCGTAGAGAATCATTAAAAGCATAAAGCGTATTGCGATGAATACGAAAATTAGACTTCTTATTGGCGCAAAAAGTCCTATTTAATTGCAGCAGCATCCTGATTATTTTAGTCTTCGCAGTACAGTACCGTGCAGTAGGCTACCATACCGTATGCATTAACTCTATAGGCGTTAATCTTCTGAATCTTGAACGGTGAAATTGTGTACACGTATTATTTCGTTTATAACCCTCCTACATAACGTTATTAAGCTTGTTTTCTGGAATTATTTTAGTCCATAATAGACTAATAGAGATATAAATATACATTTGTAATACATGGTAAACTGTATTAACACGGGAGGTCAATATCCAAGTACGTAATCACAAGTTTTAGGAATTAATTTACTGATTAAAAACATAACCTAAATTATTTTTTTTTACAAGAATGCAGAGCCCATTATACTCCTTTGAAAAAAAAAGGGCTGGGATGACAATGCTGTCCCTGACGGCATTGCCACACCTTCCATTCAACTTTTTACGAGACACAGAAGGGGATAACTAGCGATATCCGAAAGCATCCGGATGAACTGTCGGGAGAATACCGCCTGCCTGATTCGCAGTTGGACCTTCTGCGTGCCTAGCACGAGATCCAAGCCACTAAGTCATGCCATTTAAAGTTGCTGTAAGCCTCCGTCTACGGACATAATTTTTGGCAAAAATCAATACTGTACGTAAATACATGATGTTTGTGAGGATGTGCATACGTACTGTATACCTATAATAGGGCTGCATAATTGTAATAATGATAATATAATTGTCACGTTAGATGTTCCGAAAATAACGATGCATCGACAAAATGATCGGTGGTTCATCGATCCATCCAGAAATAACTACCGCCTTAGAACGTCATGAAAAGGGAATATTTTCAGGAGATTCTCATCTCTCGTCGAGATTTGGGGGGCTTCCCTCAATTATTTATTGCTGTTTAAGATGGGGGGGGGGGGGGAAGGAAGCACCAAAAACGTTTATTATTGGTACCAAATTAACAATACCAATATTGTTTGCGATTCCAAAAAATGGGGGAAAAAACCCAAAAATCTGACTTTTTTCTCAAAACCTAGGATTTGGAGGTAATTACGGTGCGTTTCGCGACAAAAAAGTACATTGTTTTCATATAAATTAATTATTCCCTTCATGACTTTCATACATCAAGTTTCTTTCACTCCGGTTGCCCCAGACTTTGCATCTAGTGGACTGCAATCGAAAGGCTAAAGAAAAATATAACACACTTGAGAAACAATGAAAACTTTACTGTTAAAAGCATCACAATGTCTTGGAGAGGGAAACTTTGGCACAAAAGAGGTCTCACAGGATGTCAGTGGCAGCCGCACGTTTTCACCACCATATTTCGATATTTCTTGAGTATCACGTTGGAATCGTCGTCGAAATAAAGGACCGAAATCGGGGATACCTTGGTCGGCGCGCAACACGGCTTCGGCGCCTTCGAAGGTGCCATCAGATGCATCAGCGTCTGCACGATCGCGTGGTTCGAGGCGTTCATGTGGGCATTCAGTGGGAAATCGCATTCCCCGGCGCAGTAAAATGCTGCATACCCATCTGGAGCTATGATCCAGTCCTGAGAGAAATAAAAAAATCATGGAGTCAGAATTCACTCGTGGAATCTGATCATCCACATTTGGTGCATGTATCACGTAAAAAATCGTACGTACGATTCGTATGAACGATATTCATGTCTGACAAGAGAATATACACTCGATGCATACGTTTGAGGATGTTGAAAACATTGATCTGCACGAGATAAAGGATCGAAGAGCAAGCCAATTGAAATATCAGTCAGCTCTCCTGTGTTCAGGTGAAAACCAGCAGATGGCATGGCTCGGTGTTTCCTGCCATGCAAGAGAACAGGTTTCCAATGCAGCCTTTGTCGGCCATACACTGCGACTCGCGGGGCACTCGCCATCGAGGATTGCGGGGGAGAGAATGAGAGTGGAGAAACGACACTCCACCTCAGACTTGAAACCCCATAGCGACACGAAAGCCAGTCAGGAAACGCCTGCTCTAGCACCATTTACGGTCTCAATCCACTCGAATCGTATGCGTAAGTGGAGCGACTACAAAATAATTACATAGGAAGGGTGATCGATCGATTTCCCAATCTTGATGATGTACAACGTCATGAAATAAATTATGGAATCGAGAGGCAAACCTTTTCCGCATTCATGCGACACTCGCGTCCCGTGTTCGTTTACGATTTCTTGAAACTCCCGTCAACCGAGCCGACTTACCAAAGCCACTTCAGCCCGGTCAGCAATGGAATCACCCTTTATCTTTCCACCTCGCGATGGCTACCCTCAGTGTAAATGAAGTAAAAGGAGCTCTTTATGTTAACGCTCGTATGTATCACCCCCAATTCTTCAGTGCTAAAAAAATGTTTGCTGTTGGACCGAGTGTACCATGGAATCGAGTTATCAGCGTGGATGTCATGGTTCACGTGAAGTACGATAACATCATCAGTAATTGTCTATTGTCCTTCCCTTTCCTTTACATCTATGTTTAAATATGCAGGGAAACGAGGGCGGATCGTCGTGGCATGCGAGACAGACCTGTCTAGTGATCACGATCACGCATAACATGAATAATTTTTTTTTTATTACCAGACATGCCTTCGTCTTCTTTTACGATGCGGAATCAGACGCTGCCAACGAAGCCACTCCTGCCTTACGTAAATATCTGGAATCTACGCAACACTTTCCCACCATGCCTCGAGCTTGCCGGGAAACTAAAAACCGACGACGGTGATAGGACCCTTTACATCCGGGTCGAGTTCACGATGCACGATTCACCCCGAAAGGAATACAAAAGAATGCTCGTCGGGATTCCGACTTCGGATGACCGACAGCATTTGGGAACGAATAAAAAGAAACTGGGAAGAGGGATAGATGCGGGAACGAAGTGAACCTTCCGTTTTACCGTTTTGCTCATCCATGACATGTTTCTCCAAGAAGGCTTCACTCCGAACGACTTTTATGCGAACTTAACATCGTTTTCCCGAGACATTCATGGCAGGAAGGATTACGATTCGGAAAATAGACTGAATCTGGTGATGGAAACGTATCAGCTCCATGGCGTCGACTCAACGAGCATAAAAATCTGGACGAGATCTTTCTTTCCTCCACGATAACAACTGATGATGTACCTACATCTGCATCAGTCACAAGTAATTGGAAAGGAGATGAAATCGCTTGATACTCAGAAATGTGATTGATCAATGCAAATGGGGAAATTTCCCGCACGGCCTAAGTGTTTTTTTTTTTTCACACGGCCTGGCAAGGGAAAAAATGGAGGCTTTCGGCTTGCAGCCAAGAAGGTTAATAAGATGCGATACAAATTTCATTTTCCCATGTCACACTGATACGACTAAATATGAACACGGTACGATTTATGAACACGGTACGATCTACTCTGAACCCTGTGATCGATGAACAAGCGGGCATGAATGCCGTTGTCGAAAGGTAGTCAAGAATATATTGTTATTGATTTTAAATACAAAACCTCACTGCACCACTGAAAAGGAAGCTCGAATATTGCTGCAATAGACAGATCGCTGTGTACGTGTCTATCCATGTAAGTGAACGTTGGACTTTCTAACAGACTGAAAAGTTTGATACTCCCCCTACGCGTGCACCTAAATGCGACAATTTTGCATGTCGCATGGATGAGCAAAACGGTAAAACGGAAGGTTCACTTCGTTCACTCATTTATCCCTCTTCCCAGTTGCTTTTTATTCTTTGCGACAATGTCGCATTTAGGTGAAAGCATTTTCGGCATCCAAGGAGGGGGGGTTTAGTTCTGGGGAGGAATTGAGACTTGAAACCCTTTCCATCAAGTTAGTGGATACGCACAAATACCATTTGGAGTCTCGTAGTCCACGTAGTCTGCACCCACCCAGCGTCCCATTACCATTACCATTACCATCCCCATCCCCATCCCTCTCCCCCTCACCTCCCACCCTAACCTAAAGCACGGTCTTCTTCATATGGCCCCGGAAACCGGTCACGTTCACACCTGCCCCTATGCCACACCGGGTCAATAAGCTTCACCCTTGTTCCCTTTTTTGCCCGGGAGCGTCGGCACGAGGCGAATGCCCTCGTCCGCGGAGCTACGGAGCTCTCAAATTTCAAGACTCATCTGCTCGGTCGATATAGTCCACGAGGCTCATTAAAGAACACGTGTTAAAGAATACGACTCGAATGCTCTCACCTGCCAGCCGAGATCTCGGAAGCTGACGTACAGCATGTGCTTCTTGCAGTTCCTGTCGACGTAGTTCCCGCCGTATACTGGAATATAAGAGTTGCATTTTGAGGCATTGTCAATGGCCATTGCTATCATGTTTCCATGACGGTTAGTTTATCTACGATCTTCATAAAACAGGAGGCCGAATTCAAGACATCATATCATTTAAATCCGATTCGAATCAGTTCCTGAGGCATTTAGATGATGCGTCGAAAAACTGATTCTGATTTCGCTTGAAAACGATATTCGTGATTTTGGAATCATTGGAAATGAAATGCGAAGCATGGAGTAGAACGTTTTGCTACGCTTGCATGGATTTGCATTGCCACTCAATCGTGAAATCATTGGTTGCATCATACCTTGATTGCATGAGTTTTTTTTTTGTTGAAATATAGTAAAACCTCGTTAACTCGAACTTTTGGGGACCGGGCAAATCGTTTCGAGTTATCCGAAGTTCGACTTATCAGGAATGGCCTCTACCCGTAAAAAAAAAAATAAATAAATAATAAATAATAATAAAATAATATATAAAATAAACTTATTCGCGTTAAGGGATATAATAGGGCGATTTTTCCATCCTTGCGAATCCGATTTCAAGGAGCGACTACCTTCTCATTATAATTGGCTTTTATTCATGTCTATGGAAACTTTGATACTCCTTATGCAAAATTCATTATCACAACGCCCTTCATCCGGTACTCCAGAAACCAAATATGACTGGAATGGCCGGAAGTGAGAGCAATAGGCAGACAGGGGAAGTGCGAGAGGTTGCTTCTTTTTAGAGCAGAAGCTTTTGGGCTGATTGCATGAACGATGTTTATTTTAGACATTGATTATCGATAGTCATTGTTTAAACATTGTCTACGAAAACATCGGTTAACCGCTGTCTACTTTCGATTGTGTGAACGTTCCCTAAGCCATGTTTTCATAGCCGTTGGTTAGACGATGGCTAAACACCCCTCATGGTACATATAGCACGTTCTTACTCCTCGGTTGTCGCGCAATACACTACGTACTCCACAGAAAACGAGGGAATCAAGTGAAAAAGGAGAACCTTTCCTCAGACTATTAAGTACATCTCACAGAGCTCGTAAAGGAGAATCTCACGATAGAGACAGAATGCACTTTCCTTGCACAACAAATAATGATGCCTGGAAACTGGTGAGTTCTCCTCCGACCTTACTCTGTATTTCGATATATCAGAGGTAAAGCCTAGGATTCGTTTTGGACACACGGAGAAGTAGGAAATGTGAAAAATAGGAGTATCATTTGGGTACGATTGCAAAATCAGGATATTCGAGAATTACGTGTGGATCCTGGTGATGATGTCACGTGATGACAATTCAGTAATAATCCCTTCCGCATCGCGCACTGCTTGGACATCGATGAAATAGAAGCATTTGCGATTGATTAAAGTTGTCTGGGCATTCTATTCGAGTACGACAGTCGTCGATGACACCGATCACTCCTGGAAATCCGACAATATCAAATAATTATCTTCGTACAACTACTCCGTTTTTCCTCCTAGGAATGTAATGAGCGATGCAAATGGGCAATGGCTTGCGCCATTCCATTTCTAGGAATCGACGCCACATAAAATCGAAGGGTCAGCACAACATGCAAATCGAAAGGCTTTCATGATACTCTCTTTACTTTCGAGTCATATTAATTAATTACTCAGGGGATGGGTACTTGAACAAATCACGATTCATTGCACACGAACAGTGATTGCTCTTATCTGTCGATGTAAAGTTAAGGGATCCCTTCCACGATCTTTGTTCCTTTCGAGTTGAGCGCGAAGAAGGTCGACATCATACTCTGATCCCTTTCCAAATTGGCATCTCACACGTAAGTTCTAATCGACATATTCCTCAAAGGGATTAAGCCCAGAACCTATGTTTATTCCTCCCATGCGACGACGAGCGCACATCGCCGTTATTGAGCGGATCCATATACAGAATCCATTGTACTTCACCAGTACACTGCAGCGCTATACTCATCGAGATGGTACACGAACGCTGGCATAAATCTCGGCAAAACATGCCCCATCCCTTGTCTGGAAACGACACCTTTTTCAGCTTCTGTTAGACATCGGTTTGACAATGGTTAAAGGAAGATAGCGTTCATGCAATCCACTTTTGGCCTTAGACATCGGTTAACCGATGACTTTCGAAAAACACCGGAAAACATCGTTCATCCAATCGGCCCTTAGTCTTTGGACAACCTACACAAATTCCTCTCCTTTCCTTGCTTTATGAAAATGTATTGATTTTCATTTGTTTTCCTAATATAGCTTCGATGACCGAAAATGAAATGAGGGGCAAATCTCCGGAACCCAGAGGTAGCTCAATGTATTTGCCGCAGGGGGCCCCGCATTTTCCCGCGCCGGGCCTGATGGATTGCCTCGTCGAAAATGGCTCAGTCAATCATGCGAACGTCGAACCTCGTCTCCGACTGCTACATTGTTTTTGGTGAAAACGCAGTCTGTACAGTTGGAAGCAAAGGTTCTTACATGGCCTCGACCTCTCGAGAACCGGCATCCGGGTCTCAAGGGGATCGTACGAGTTTTTTTCGTTGGGAAAACATCGACAATAAGAGCTGGTATACTCAGCTTAAAATCCCGATCGGAAACATATAATTTCCAGCTGGATCCCAGCTGGAAATTCGAACCCATTACAACTGGGTGACAGCTGAAAAAAAAGTCAGACCCTGATTGGTTCCTAGTTTTAATACCACTGGTGGAATGAGAACGTTTTAGTTGGCTATTTTTGCCGGAGGTCCATCTATTAGCAGCTGAATTTCAACTGTAAATTTACAACTGAAGATCAGCAATATTCCAGCTGGAGGATCCCCTGTATAAAATTCTAATTGGAAATTTCCAGTTATAAACAGCTATTGAAACCAACTCCAATTGGAGAAGTCTGGCTGTGAAACAACCCGTGTACAATACCTACAATTTCTCGGCTCTTTGTCAGCTGGAAATGGTCCGAATTTACTGCTTTGATCCAGCTGGGAAATTCCATTTGGGATTCGAAACTGGGTAGGAAAATCTCTAGAATATAGGAACGTTCAGAACGACTTTTAAAAAATCTATATATCGACGTTCATAAGTTCCCACTTTCGCTACGAGGCGTAACCGTTAAATTGTAAGTCGGAGGCGTGAGACCAGGGTGAGAGGAGTGGAAAGGAAAATTCGGCATTCGGGGCAGGGCACCTTGAAGTGAGCGGCGACGTCCTGAATGTGGACGGCGGCATCGACGTCGATGCCGATATCCATGAAGTCCACGTGCATATGGTATCCTCCCTCCATGGCATGGAAGCCGATGTCGGCGGTGACGGTGATAGTGTTGCCGCTGGTGTCCAACGTGGCATCCCCCGTTCGATGTACCGTCTCCAGTCCCTTGAGAAATCCTTGCGTGAGGGACGCCTCTCCGTGCCATTCGATCCCCAAAAATACTTCACTAAACCCACGATAAAAAATAAACTGGACGTCACCTCTCGAATCGAGCATCGTCTACTTCCAAGAGAATGCTTTCGACGAAAGAAAAGGTCGGTGTCGGAACGGTCGAAGAGTTCACGACCCACGGCAACGAAATACAATCGGTTTCGGGTAAAAACGCGTAAACTCCATCCAGAGTGAACATAGACGTCGGAGACGAGCGATCGCAACGACGCGAAACCCGTACAAAACGTACCTGAACTCCTCGATCTGATCCGGGAGAGGGAAGTTGTCGTATCCGTTTTCGATGATGAAGTTCTGAACGTTATCGAGGAGCTGGTCCACGTAATCGTTGGCATTGCTCCGTTCACGCTCGAGAGCGAAGGACTCTTCCGATGCGATCCCCTTCGCCTTTCGTCCTCCTTCCGCGTTCAGCATGACTCCAGGCAGCATCCAGGGGACCGACGGCCTCTCTCTTTCTGAGGTTCCCAAAGGAAGGAAACAAATTAAACAGCAGAGTCCGAGGTGGACCGAAAAATATTCAATATATTACGGGATTCGCGACGCCATGCGCGATCCTCGTAAGAGAGTGATAGTGTAAAAATCGAGCAGGTCGGGTCGGCGACGGCGAAGATGAACGGTGAAGAAAATAGGGAAAAAGAGGAATTTTCGGTCGTACTCGTTCGCAGGGAGAATCCGAACGGAAAGGCGAAGGCCTGGTTCACGAGGGCTAGGGCAAACACAACAGAGAGGGAAACGCGATCCATGTCTATCCTCGGAAGCGGTGGCTCGAGATTCTGACGTCCGTCGATGACCGAAAGTGATGGTGGCCTGGGAGGGTTCGTGCCCATATATCCGGATGGCACGCCGTGAGAGCGGCGACATCTTCCCGGATGTCGACGAGATGCGCACCTGCTCGCTCCCTCGAGGGGAACATTTGAAGGGAAGACGGAATCTGATTTGCGTGGCGCGGGCACCACGTGGCATCCACTTCGGCTCGTCGATCCTCTGTAAGATAGAGGGATGGACGTTTTCCTGGGAATTTCAACATCCGCCTCCGTGGGGTCTTTCGTTCCGGGTCCTCGCGAATCAGCCACGACTCGAGTCGATGCTCGTTTCCCGAGGGACGAGCGCGTCACGAAAACGCGTGATACGTGGGCGCAATTGCGTGCAGCTAGAATGAGTTGCACGCATCCAAAATCTCGGGCGAGACGGTCGTAAACTTATAGAGCGAGAGGAAAGAATGTCCGCGACGCATCGGGTTCTCAGAGGAGACGGAGAGGAAATCACGGAGAGTTCTGGGGGGGACATCATTGCCTACGCGAAACAGAATCGCCGTCTGCCTTTCGGGGATTCTCTAAATCGGGGGGGATTTAGAGGATTAAGAAGAGGGGTGAGGGCATGGGGGAGAGGAGCGAAGGTGAAGACGAATGTGAGACCGACGGAGAGAAGGTTCGTGTTAGCGAACGGAAGCGAAGGTTGGAGCTGGGAGCGTCCAAGAATCCGTCGCAACGGAATAGGGCGGGGAGTCGCTTCGCCCCGTGAACGCTCGCATCCTCCCGGATCTCGTCGCGAACGCCTCCCGCGAGATAAAGGAATGGGAAAAACGAAAGTTGAAATGGCATCGCGTCGTTCCCGTGCCCAAAAGCCGAGTCGAGATGAGAAGGCCGAGGAATATACCTTTCCAAAAAAAAAACCGATCGGTCCCCGGGAATGCTCAGCGTTCGCCCTCGCGGATCCCTCGCCCCAAGGTATTCTGGCCATACTCGGCTTTCGTCTCGCACATTCCCCATGACTACTTCGTTCCTCTGCTTGCTAGGAAGCGAAACTTGAAAGGAGGCCACGTGTAGCTCTGCCTCAAATGGGGCTAGGGATTCCGGGCGATCTTTTCTTTCTCGGCTTGATAGGATAGTGTCTAAAATTAATTTAAAGTTGGTAACTTCACAATTAAAATGAAACCAGAATGAAGCCTCTATTTTAGAAGAGAAGTTATTGCAGAAACAGTTTCACAATTCCGGTCCGTATGGGTGCCAGGAACCGAAATTCGACGCCATTCTAAAGCATATGTCTTATATCTGGAGATCTGTGCGAGATATAAAAAATTGGTCGAAGTCAGTTTCGTTAAATCGATCCCGCTACATGTTTGCCGATTTTCGTCGGAGATGGTTGAGCTCACGTTCTGGTCGAATCGGCGTGGAATGACCCTATGTTAAAAAGGATTTGGTATTTTGTGGAACGATATGGACGTGGATTTTGGATCCCCATCTACGGAGAGTCGGTTCCTTGGAAAAGAAAGGTCTTGGAGGCTGTCGGACTCCCGCGAGAGGAGGGAGTCGGACGTGTGGGAAGAGATCACTTGGGGAGCTAGCACATCTCCCGATTGCCATCGTTTTCTCATCTTTTTTTTTTCTTTCCCAATCATCTTTATTGAATGATTGCAGTCAGCAGTAAAATGAGGGCATGTAAATACGTATAACAGTCTGGAGTTGCCTCAGCAAAGTGGAGCAGGAGATGGGGAGAGGAGAGATGCAGGAAGGGGAAAAAAATTTTTTTTTTTTTCCTTTTTTCTTCGTTATACAGGGTGGCCCCCAAAAGGGCACACTTTTCAATGAGCATTTTAAGTGTGATGTTAAAATTTTTTTCTGGTTACATGTATTGGAAAGAAGAAAGACTCAGCCACAGAATGCTTTTTTTCCGACTTGAAATATCTGAAACGGTAGCTTAGATAAAATGTATTGAGTTTCGTTTAGGAAAATTGACGTTGCGTTCAGCGACCGTCCACGGTGACAGGCCCATCTCCTCACGACGTCTACTGAGGTCAGCGTTTCCATTTCCCATCTCGTGAGAGTCGGGCCGTCGAACGGATGTTGGGGTGAGAGAATGGTGGGTCTAGTCGAGGAAGGGTCCAAGTGTCAGCGAAAGACCGCACAATTCATTCGCCAGTCCGAGCAGAGAAGTGTCGTGTGCTTTCGGTAGAGTTTTCTGTCGGGTTTGATGACTGTTGTCAAGGCGCTGTATTTGGAGAGGCTTTATTTGGTATCAAGAATCTTTCGAGATTTCCAGGTCGTAACTGGAAGCGACAAACTATTTTTAAATAGAGAGAAACTGGGAGAGTCGCGCGATGCGAGAGCAGTGGCGGCCTCGGTCTGCACGCACGCCAGGAAGCACCGCGGTTGTCGAAGAGCTGATATGCAGCCAGGATAATACCCGGGGACAAGCCTGAGTGCCAGGCGAGTGTCCCGAAGTATGCAAATTTCTCGCAGCTCTGTCCAGCGAATTGCAAAACATGACTTCAAATTGAAAGGGTTTAAACGTGTTCCTTTGTAACGGTTTATCAGGCAGATGAAACACAAACGATTGAGAAGATGCACCAACTCCGACGGTTTCGCACCAGAGATGCTGTTGAAAGAATTTGATTCTTTGACGAGAGGCTATTCACTGTCCTAAGGCCAAACGATTTTCAAACCGACAGGGCTTATGCCAGCGTGAGGAGGTAGAGAGACGTCCCGTCGTGTCGGCTTTTGCGCGAAAGCTCTCTTCAGTGACGGAGTGATGGTAGCTGCCGCGGTCTCGACTGTCGCCAAGACCAGCCTCATCTTCGTGCAGCTCAGAGTGAAGATCGATTCCACTAATTACGGTGAGGGTGTGCTGGCCGAGATGTTGCCGCACATTGAAGACCGATCGCTCAGCTACACATTCAAGCAAGATGGAGCTCCTGCTCATCGTGCAAAAGCGACCTTGCAGTACCGCAATAGCAATTTTGATGATTTCATGGAACAGGACCTGTGGTTGTCAAACGGCCCCGATTTAAATTCAGTCGATAATTTCGTTTGGGGCTGTTTACAGCAAGTGATGTACGATGGTACCGTCATTCTAACCGTCGACCAGCTCAAACAACGCATTGCAATGTGTTGGGAGCAACTCAGCCAACAATTAGTTGCAAAAGCTACTCGACAATGGACCGGCACACTGAGAAGTTTTCCGAGCAGAGGGGAGGCCGCTTCCGTCCATATGAAGAACGTAAGCCCCAATAGATGTCGCAAAGGTGAGGAAATGTGCCTGCGCCGTCGGCAGTCGGTAAGTGCAACGCCGATTTTTCCTAACCGAAATTCAATCATTTTTCCTGAGCCACGTTTTAACATATTTCAAGTCTGCAAAAAAGCACTTTGTAGTTCATTCTTTTCTCTGTCTGCTGCAGGTGACCCGAAATAAAATCTCAAAAACATAGCTTCGAAAATCGTTTTGAAAAGTGTGCCCTTTTTTTTGGGCCACCCTGTTTTTATCTTGTTGGGTTTTTGCTTCTTTTTAATTCATTTTTCTTTGTTCTTTTTCTTTTTTTTTTGCTTTGTTCGATATCTTCTTTCCTCTCTTGCTTTTTGCCTCTTTCCTCATTATTTTGGCTTAACATAGCACCTGATGCTTAGTACTTGTGCATTTTTCGCATGGGTGTAGGTTTTTTTAAAATCTTCCTGTTTAATTCCTTTCCTCACCTCCAGCTTGCACATCGGACTCACCCATCCAGAGCGAGAAAACCACCACAAGTCTGGTAGAAGGGGTTCTAATCTCGTGTAGGAGGCAAAAACCTCCCAAAGAGACGATGAGGGCCAACATACTTTTTTTCACTCATCGAACGGAATTTTTTTTGCTCGGCTAGGTGAAGTCATTTTAATGTAGAGCAAGAACGCTTTCCTCGAACCGATCTAACCTTATTTTAAGCGGGTTTATTCCGTTCCTACACTGTCAAACAGCAACTTTCAATGTGAAATTTATTTAAAAGTGACTCTTGTAGGAAAACGGTAGGCTTATAGGCTTGCCGTTTGAAGTCTACTTTGAAGTATACTTCAAGATTTCAGGTGCTCATAACCTTTATCGTCCTCTGGACTCATGTATGTAAAAATTACTAGAAAGGTACCAGACCGTCGTAACTCTCGTAGAACTCGAGATCTTTATGATAATTGTCATGCTTACGTGAAACGTTACCTACCCAGAAGACCCAAGACCCTGATCCTGAGCAAACTTGATGTTTAATCTCTTGTAAATAAGGCAAGGCAATGATCTCCCATAATGCTTTCGAAGGACGCAGTATCACTGATCTGTGAAGTGCTGTATATAAAGTAGGGCTGTCGATCGATTGAAAAATGTAATAAATTAATTGTGAGCCATTTAATATATTAATCGGTCGATTAATAGAAATTTAAATCGATTTCTTAGTCCTCCTTGAATCATGTCCAAGGCGTTGGGCATGATTTTGCTTGTTTCATGTCCAACACCTAGGCGAGTCTCAAGTGACTCAAGCAGGGCTGGGTAACGAAATCGATTTCGTTTCGTTTCTGTTTCGTTTCTTTGTAACCCCTATGTATTATAACCCCTAACAGAAACCCCCCCTAACAGAAATGTTTCTGTTCCTCCGATTTCGTTCTGTTACGTTTCTGTTTCTATTCTGTTACAATTACGTTACCAATTTCGTTTCTTTTTATTTATGATCTTTTCCGTAATATTGCAAAATGGAAGTGCATAAAATCCCCAGCCAAATCTCAAAATGTGCTCGCTCGGACCAAATCGCTCCCAATGGTTACGCACCAGGAGGATTGATTGATGTCACACACAGGCTTGAATGCTAGGAGCCTAGAACTAGCAGAAGTCTGGAGAAAAGGAATTTGGACTCTGGGGATGATCAAGACACAAGCAATTTTCCTTTAATCGAAAGAGACATCTGCTTTGTTTCTGCCACCATTCTCTCCATTATTCCTCTCATCAATAGTGAAGCCTGAAACAATCTTCATCTGCAAATATTTCTGGAAAATGTCAGATACTGAGATCAGTTTTTCGCGATTTTTTTTTCATTCAGCTCTTTTGCCGTTGCCATAGTAGCCTAGGCCCATTCACCGTGGTCAGCTTGGGTCGGTGTGGCGTGTAACTGACTGGAACTGCCTTTTTAACAGTCGTACTTGAAAAGTCCATTGTTAAAAATAGAAGAGAGGCTGCAAGTAGCAGCATGAACAGAATTTCTAGCCATGCCGCTCTATCCCGGTCGGAAAAACCACGCTGCGTCAACGTTGAGCAAGGATTCCTTTTTTGACGCAGCAATTTTGCAAAGTTGTGTAAATGGAGTTTATATGCTACCACAAAGCTGAAATGAGACACAGTTGAGCATTTGCGCTCAAGTATACTTGTGAAAATGCGCTAATGTGTTGCGCTGTTACATCGTTTAACTATCAACGTCTTGGCCTGCTCATTTTCTCAGTATTGAATATTTAT